CTTAGAAAGTTTTGCCATGCATTTCAGAAGCTCTGTCGCATATGTTTCGCTTGCATACTAGTTCTGCTATATAACGTTGGAGCTACTTTTATAAGTTATGAAAACGTCCGCAATTGGGCATAGATATACAAACTGATTATCCAGCCTTTTGTTACAGCTTCAATTCAAACGCCTCTCCTTCCATGGCGGCATTATCTTTAGGAAGATAATGCAAATCGTGAAAGAATCTTTCGACGATAAGAAAGATTCTTTCCTATCATGGCTGATGAGCGGCAGCACCGTGCTGTCAGTATACCACGGCCCCGTGTTGTGGAGCCGACTGCCGAGCCGAGCCGGCCGGGAGGTCGAGCGGCCACCCCGGCTCGACCTCGCCCGTCGGCGGGGGGTCCGGCTCGACCCGGCGGTCACCGGGTCACCACGCCGCCAACGAGCCGTGACGAGTGACGCCCGGCCGTGACGTGCGACGCCCGCCGGCAGCGTCACGGCCAGTCGTGTCACAGCCGCCGCCTCCGGGCGGACCAGGGAATACCGGCATTCCAACGCTACAGCTGAGCCAGCGGTGGCAGCCGTCTGAACACCACGGGATACACAACTCAGTCGACTATTCACAAATAGGTGAGGGACATATTCACTCGCTATTAATCACCCACTGTATGAAGGCGGACGGATTCGGCGTGTTCTCTGTTCGGACATCGGAATCGCGGATGTAGATTGGCTGCATCGACACGGCATAAATTAAGGTCAAGTGAGACGAATCGCCGGCCCAATGGAGCGAGTGCTTCCTGACCTTAGCCGGTCTGTTGCGGAGGTCAGCGGCGCCGCGCCGAGCCGGGGTGTGCCCGTGCCGCCCAGTGTGCCGAGCGGGGGGCGGGGGCGGGGGCGGGGAGGGGCGTCAGAGGACCCCGCCCACCCCGAGACGTCGGCGGCGGCGCGACCTTGGTGCCCGGGTGACCCCCTTCTGTGCTTTATGGCCGCCGTGGCACGGGGTCAGCCGGCACACAGCCGACGTGATCGATATAGTGACACCGGCTGATCACTCCGCGAGGTAATCACTCATCCTATAGTCCCGCCGGGAGTCGAGCTCGACTCCGGGGTACAGGCTGCGTCCTACAACAGCATTCCTGTGCGAAATTGAAGCTTCAAATGGTGCTTTCAACAAAAAGTGCAAGAGAATTGCTTACTATTGCATTAAAACGCATGTAAAATAAAAACAAAAATGTTTGGAATAGATATTAATAGAATAATTTGATACATCACACGTGATCAAGGACAAATACTCAGGCTGTTTAAAAATCGTGCATGTATTTTCTGACCATGGTAAATAGACGCCAACTTATCTCGCCCCTAGCCTGATCTACATACCATTACCGACCATAACGGCCATGCCTGACGCTGGGCAGTTCCTATTGCAGCTAGTCTGGCTGCAGTGCTATTGATTGGCGTTATTGTTGCGGCCTCTCGGGTCGCGCTCGCTCTAATCCGACATGATTCATGCCAACCATGATATAGCAGAAATAGTGCGCTCCCGTTCGGCCCTACCGTAGCATGCATCGCGTGCCGCGCGCCAAGTGGCGGCTCCGCGGGGCCGATGCAGTTGTCTGATGCAGTGAGCCCCGTCGGCCGGCCGGGCGGGGCCAGGCGGTGACGGTACCGCGGGCCGGAAGCTGACCCTGCCGGCCTTGTGTCCTGCCAGTGCAAGGCCTTGCAAGGGACCTGTGACGTCACGGTCATGAGTGACGTCACCGGCGGTCAGAGGGCACCGCGCGGAGAGCGTCAGCTGCGCACCGGCTCAGCATTATGTGACCGTGAGCGAGAGTTAATGACGGAATGGTATGATCTGGGCAGATATAATAGTATAGTAATAGGAGCAGCGGGAAAACCGGGCGTGGTACGGTGAATGGGGATGCCACGGGTGGTACAGGGAGGTACTGAGAACTGCGGTGTGAGTACGCTGATGACATACGTTCGGTGACGTCATGGCCTTAGAGCGCGGCCGGAGGAGATAAGTAGACGTCGGGGAAATCCTAGTCATAGATAGTAAAAATAGTTATTTTACTTGGATCTGCAGCGTGACTGTGCACTTTTTTCTGATGCTGCTTTTGAAAAGGAAAGTTGTCTCAGACACAGGGCCGTGACGAACACATATCATTTCTTGATATTGAAAGCGCTTCATTCAGCCATTGCCTTCCTCATTCAACATTGGTTGGTTTGTTCTGTTATTTCCTAATCGGAGAGAAGTGCCGCGAAACATCTTGTCCATATGAGACCCACTTTTCCAAACGCCTCAAGGTGACTACCGTTTTTTCAGTCTAGCTAGATGTTGTCTCCAATAAACGCTAAAACGGTTCTGTTCTTCCATAAATACTTCAGAGATTTGGGAAATAAACAAGACGCATTCAGACATGGAACACATCTGTGGAATCCATATTAGGTTACACCGCCCTGAAGTGTCGGACACAATCCAGAAGAGTCCGTCTCCGGCGGTCGAGTGCGGTAGAGAGCTGGCAGCCCCGCCCTCGTTCCCCCGCGCGGCGTTCACCTCTGACCGTGACCCCGAGCGTCGCGCGTGCGCCACACACGTCACGACAGCTGATATTGGCGCGATAGTGCACACGACCCAGAGTTATTTCCCTCTGTGTAGAGGACTGAGAGTGTGCTACGGCTCGTTTCCACGGTTATTCATGAGATCGGAGGCCATCAAAGGCCTGCTCCGTTTCAGGACACGAAACAGTAATTTCTTATTTGAGCGCAATTTATGGTCTCCTATCAAATGACTCGCGCTCTAAAAACGTCATTCAACATGCAACAAACACTTATAGGTAATTACCATTTTGGCAAAGTTTGAAACACCGCATGCCCGACTGCAAACACCTTTATTGATTCGTCTGTCCGGTCAGCTTCTATTTAGCTACCAGAGGAAAATCCCTTTATAAACCCATGGACGATGAAATGATTTAACGTGTGTCTTCTCAATTTGTCTGGAATTTGCTGAAAGTTTTACAATGTAATGCAAGCTAGCCAAGCATCACTGGTGTATACCTACTGTATAGTATACCTACCGTACCTCCGTAGGACCTACTGCTTGTTTTGTTTTTTAAACATGCCGAACATTGGAGCCCGTTAACGATATTCAACAGAAGCTGGAATGAATCATTCTTGCATTTGGTAACAGCCCCGCGCCATGATTTATATAAACGTTCTCTATGACCCAATCAGTATCGGTTACCCACTTGGTCCATACGTGGGTTGTGAATCGTGACCGGTGTCTGCTGGAGTGTTCTGTTCACTTATGTCCCCATTCAGTCGGTCCCCATAAGCGGATCGGCCGGTAACGAGCACGGCTGACCTGGCCTCCGCCCCTATCGGCAGCTCTCAGCCAAGGGCGGCCAACCGCGCCCCAATAACGGAATGTGCCGCCATCACCGTCACCGCTCGATGAATGCTTGTGTTTATTTATTTATTTATTGGGGTGGGGGGGGGGGCATGCATTACGTACTTATGCATGTCCCAGCTAAAAACCAGAACGATCCGATTCACACTTTACTCTCGAGTACAGGCAGTCGATATAACGGTAATCACCTATCGATATTGGCCTACATATAGGCCTGCCAGTGGCCTTGGCGGCATGAATAATAATGCGCTAAGCGTGACAGGGATTAAAAAACTGCTCCAAGATACATATTTTCAACTGTTAATACAGCGTCAATTGCCAAATTATATGTAAATGGTGGCCCAGTATGACCGCTATCAACACCTGGTGAAGGCTTTGATGTGTGACGAATATAAGCAGCGGAAAGTTGAGCGGCTCATTAAAAGCGTAATGAACAGCCGAGCTAATAGCGAACGCTGTCAATCTCCCACAATAGCCGGGTGTCTAACGAGGTAGTTCAGGGCAACGTGTCCTCTGTCTCCGGCAAAGAAGGCCAAAGTAGCTGTATTTTTATACGGCATGCTGCAGTTATATGAGGTACCTTTAGGTACGAGAACCCAATCTATGTAGACATGTAGGACGTAGGTAAGTAGATATGGATCGCGCGCTTTATTTTGAATTGTAATCGTGACGTAGGTATGCCAAAGGACCTCAGCGTCAGCAGTGGGCGCGGTATGTCCCAAATAAACAAAGTACAAACATATTTTCGCGTTGTTTCAAAGCATACTCGTACCTATCGCTTATTACTACATAAGCTAAGAGAGTAGAGCACTACATCAGTTATTTCAAAGGGCACTGAACTCTATATTGACGTGGTTGAGTTCATGCTTGTATAATGAAGAGATGAAACATAGACCTCTGTATACAGAGGTATACAGAAGTTTATGGTCTATGGATGAAACTATCAGATGAACTGAGAGGCACAGGGCCGGTCGGACCCGGACGAGCCGCCTATTCCCGAAGTGTATTACACGAGTACCTATCACAACCAACTAGCGCCATCGATGTGCGCCCAGGTCTCCTACCATTCGCAAGCTCCAGGATTACTCGAGGCCATCATTTGAAGCTCCACAAGCCAAGGCCAAGATCAAGAGCGAGGAGGAACTTTCTGCCGGGAGTCAGAGCAATCAACAGCTGGAACGGCCTGCCTCCCTCTGTTGTATCCGCACCTACTGTCAATGCCTTCAAGCCGACTCGACTCCCAGTGGGGAAAAACATCCAATATTCATCAGTCTTCGATCAATAGAAACAGAGCGAGTTTAAAGTAATGATACGGTCCAATAGGCCAGGAGGCCTGCCACTTGGCCTCAAAATTCCATGGACTTCTAAGGTAAGGTAAGGTAAGGTAAGGTAAGGTAAGGAAGTTTATGGTCTATGGATGAAACTATCAGATGAACTGAGAGGCACAGGGCCGGTCGGACCCGGACGAGCCGCCTATTCCCGAAGTGTATTACACGAGTACCTATCCCAACCAAATGGCGCTATCTCTCGGTTGACGTCAGAATGATGTCACATGCCTCATCTGAAAAAATACGCTCACTTCCTGCCCCCACTCTCTCACTGGCCAGACACGTCCTCAACCTCATTTTGTCACAAAATTGATGGTTGCATTTTGTATGACAATAACAAATTTACCAAGGCTCTTTGTGTATTGAGATTGTGGAGAGGAATTTGATAACGGAAATACTTTGGATTTGGCTACATTTTTTCCATATTCCACTACATTCACTACGCAGCAAAGACATTTACGAGCCACGTTTCATTCTGTTCAAATTTTGTCAGCATTTCTCAAATTGCCTAGCAACCTGCACCAGAAACACCGTTTATGAAACATTTGTAAAAGCGTTGCCTGGCAACGTGAAGGCGCTACGTTGAAGGACGAACATATTGAACAGAATTGGAGCAGGAGTGGACTGGTGGAAAGTGGAAACGTGTGCGGTCCGCAGGTATAATTCAGATTTTATTATCTCGATAATTAGAAAAATCAATTTAGCTGCAAAATCAGGTAAGAAAATTTTCCATGGTTAAGATCCCAAACTAGCTTATAAACACTGATGAACATTCTTTATTGATATAATGATAAGGCCTTGTATCTTTGGATTTGAAGGTACTTATTGCTATTGGACGCTGCCCAGGTTAAGGTAGTGGGTGACAGGTATTCCCCAATGCCAAGAAAATATTCTGATTTTTGTTGATAACCAAAAAGTGCTCAGAACTTGCTCCCTTTGTTCAACACATTAAATATGCAACCACTCTGTCCACCGATTCATTGTCATATTATCGCAGATCAAATATGAAATAAAATACCTACCAATACTTTTTCACAATGCTATGCTTTTCTGAGCTAGAATTAGCTAGTTGATGAAAATAAAGTACCTACAATAGCATGAGAAGCTAAGCATGTAAGCCAAGTAGGCATGTGATCGGTGATTTAGGTAAGGAAGGAGTATAATGACAGAAGTTATAATAAAATCAATATGAGCAGTCACTTGCTCCAAATACTGGCCTTGCATCAGCTGGCTTTGTCTTCAGTTCATCGTTATATGCTACAAATTCTGAGTGGGTAAATGCCTTTCAGCATCACAACTAAAAACGTGAAAGCCAATGCATCTTTTTTTCCCCTGCAATTTCATATGCAGTCTAATATTTGCTCACTAAAATTAAACTGGAAAAATATTGAATTGGCATGTGGTCTTATTACCAGACAAGTTGTAGTTCAAAGTTGATAACCAGACTCATTTTTTATTGTTTTTTATTGTAAAACCATTTTAAAGATCATAAAAATTGAAGATAGTCTGGTCATCAACTTGTCTGCAACTTGTCTGGTAATAAGGCCACAGCTCAATTCAATTCTTAGCATTCTTCTTTAGCAGCAAATGCTGCTTTAATTGCACATTCCAAAAACTTAAAGTTATCAAAACACCCCTACCAGTTGCAGGAGTAGCAGTATGAAATTTGAAGCCTAAAGAGGAACACAGAAAAGTATCTGACTACTGACTAGAAATTTAAGACCAAGCTCTGGATCAGAAAAGAATATGGGTAAAATGAATGGTTATGATAATTATCTTGATCTACAATCATCTTTATATAATTTATGTATGTAAAAATTGGAATTCTAACATGAACATTACATTTCTTTCAATTATCTTAAGTAAATGTTGCAAGCTATCTCACATGCAATTGTAGGCAACACATGGTCAGGCTGGTTGCCAACTGTCATGATAGCACAATTTGTTTGTCATGTTGAAGGGAAGGTTAATGCAGTTCCACCACAGCCAAGGTGCAAAGCTTTTCTGGCTTTTAGTTCAACAGAGTAGAAAAGATATTTCGCACCATTTTATTGATTGCTCATAGCAGTTTCCCTCAGCACCATGCACCACTGCACTCATGCATCACTCCTCAGGCCCTCATAGGGCACCTCCATTGCAGTGAATCACCACACATCAAGCGCAACACAATGTTAAAGCTGCCCTGAATCTAAGCCACACTTTCTATCGCAACATCTGTTCCCTATTACAAGTTATCTTTAAAAAATTACAAAAGTAGTTACTATTAACATGAATTAATCTTCATTGCAATGTGGATGTTATGCACTATTTGTTTATAGCTGTGTGTCAGTACAGGCTCAATAGGTTGCTGCATATCACCCAGCAGTTGTTATACTACACTGTGGTTTGTCAGCAGGATGGCGCTCCATCCTGGCGGTGCGAACGGCGAGCCGCCGCTGAAGAAGCACAAGCCCTCGCCGTCTCCGTCTCACGGCCCGGGCGCGGCCTCCGCCGACCCGGCGACCATCCAGCGGCAGCGGCAGGCGCTGCCCGTGTACCGGCTGCAGGCGCGCCTGACGCGCGAGCTCACCAGCCGGCCGACGCTGATCCTGATCGGCGAGACGGGTAGCGGCAAGACCACCCAGGTGCCCCAGTTCTGTCACCAGGCGGGGCTCACCAAGACGGGTCTGGTGGGCGTCACCCAGCCGCGCCGTGTGGCGGCCATGAGCCTGGCGCAGCGCGTGGCTGACGAGATGGCCTGCACCGTCGGACAGAAGGTCGGCTACTCTGTCCGCTTTGAGGACTGCACGTCCACACAGACCAAGATCAAGTACATGACGGACGGCATGCTGCTGCGCGAGGCCATTTCCGACCATCTCCTGCGGCGTTACTCGACCATCATCCTTGACGAGGCTCACGAGCGCACTGTGCACACCGACGTCCTCTTCGGCATCGTCAAGAAGGTGCAGAAGATCCGACGCGCCAAGAATCTCCCCGAGCTGAAGATCGTGGTGATGTCCGCGACCATGGACGTGGACCACTTCAGTCGGTACTTTGGCGGCGCGCCGGTGGTGTACCTGCAGGGCCGTCAGTTTCCCGTGCAGGTCTACTACGCCAAGCAGCCGCAGGAGGACCCGGTGTTCTCGTCGCTGGTGGCCGTGACGCAGCTGCACCAGACGGCGCCGGCCAACCAGGACGTGCTCGTCTTCCTTACCGGCCAGGAGGAGATCGAGTCCATGGTGAAGAATCTCAGGGATGTCGGCAAGGTGGGTCTCCCTGATGAGCGGGCGTTGATGCTGCTTTACTGTCTATTTCCTTGGCTATTTTTGGGTTGTGTTGTCATTTCTTGCCATTCCCGTAATCTGTATTCTATATTCTAGTGTGACGGTGAATAATTGCAGTCTGACTAGGAGGACATACGTCCAGGCTCTCCTGTCCGAATGTGCCAGGCTCTTCCGTTGGGGTCCACGTCAAAACAGCTAGTGACTATTGAGCTAGTGACTTTTGAACTAGTACAAAAGAGCTAGTGCTTCAAAACAGCTAGTGACAACACAGCTAGCGCCAAAATAGCTAGTAATGCAAAATAGCTAGTGCATTAAATCAGCTAGTGACTAAACAGCTAGCGTCAATATAGCTAGTAGAGCAAAATAGCTAGTGCTTCATTATAGCTAGTCATAAGCGTAGGAACCATGGGTGCAGTGAGTGCAGTTGCACCCACAATAATTCTCCAGTGGGTGCAGACAATGTATTCTGCACCCACAATAATCTGGAACAAAAATCCCTTTTCTCACCAACACTACTTCCCATGCAGCACAACAAATTCAGGATATTTTGCCCACTTTCCACCTTTAGAAGCGTTTGCTACTGTGATGGTCTTCAAAACTTACATTTGCGCTCAAGTAAAAAAGGAAGCAACGGAACACATGTGATTGAACACATACCGATGACCCACTGTCAAAAGTTTTAGCCCGATACCTATCTTCGAAAATGGCTAAGTTAGCCGCATTTAGGTACTTTTTGCGGTAGTCAATATTGACATTATCAACGCTTCTAAATACACTTATCATCGGTAGGTACCATTTCGACATGGTACACCCTCAAAGCTCACAAGGAGCCTCCGCTCGGGTGCCGCTCCCTACCCCCTCCCCCCCCCCCCCGGCTTCACCGGCCATGGCTGGATTTCTGCACCCATGCACCCACAATGTTCCAGCCGTTCCTACGCCCATGTAGCTATAGAAATCGCTAGCGTCGACTAATAGCTAATAAGCAAAATAGCTTATTCGTAGAGCAGCTATTATAGATTCTTTCCCGACGAAGAGTCCATACGGGTAGAAGGAGCAGAAGAGCACCGTAGTTTGACAAAATTATTTGGAATGCTAGGAGGGCAGAGGACGGGATCCCTAGGACAAACAACAAATTAGAAGCGGGGCACCGGGGAATTAAAGAGATGGCATATCGCGGGAAATACATCTTTACAGTCATAGATATCTTGCATTTTTGAAGCGAAGTGAATGGGAAGGGAACAGAGGTCCAACGAAATTGCTATTTTGACGATAGCTATTTCGTCACTAGCTGTCTTGAGGCACCAGCTCTTTATGCTTCACTAGCTACTTTGACGCTAGCTGTTTTGTCACTAGCTGTTTCTAAGCACTAGCTATTTTGCTTCACTAGCTATTTTGACGCTAGCTGTTTTGTCACTAGCTGTTTTGAGGCACTAGCTGTTTTGTACTAGTTCAAAAGTCCCTAGCTCAAATGTCACTAGCTATTCTGACGTGCACCCTTCCGTTGGCACCTCCAACGCACCTTTTATTATCCACCCCCTCTCTGCCCTCTCAGGACCTACCAGGCTGCCCGCGGCTCAAAGTGGTGCCCCTGTATGCCAGCCTGCCCGTCCAGCAGCAGATGGAGGTGTTTCGGGAGACGCCCCCAGGTCAGAGGAAGGTCATCGTCAGCACCAACGTGGCAGAGACCTCAGTCACCCTGCCGAACATCAAATTCGTCGTCGATAGCGGCATGGTCAAAGCCAGGTGAGAGAGATCAGATATGCTGGCACATGCACAAAGACGAGGTGATTGCATAGCGATGCCGCCGCTTTCTAAAGTCCTAACAATCCTGATAGATTTCTTCATTCTTGGAATTATCGAACTGATTCTCGCTGCTAGAGCATGAAAATAGCAATATGGGACACTGTTCAGTTCAGATGAATGCTCATAGATTCAATTATGAGTCTGTATTAGAGAAAAACTCGATTTTTTATGAGAGTAGCCCATCTGGTATGGCACTACTCCTGATGGGGAATAACCCTCTGCCTCTCCCGCAGACACCACCAGCCCGGTACCGGTCTGGAGATGCTGCGCGTACAGAAAATCTCCCAGGCGCAGGCGTGGCAGCGGACGGGCCGGGCGGGCCGCCAGTCGGCCGGCGCCTGCTACCGGGTGTACACTCGGGCAGAGTTCGACGCCATGTCGCGCGACACTGTCCCGGAGATCCAGAGGTGCAGCCTGGCCAGCGTGACGCTCCAGCTGCTGACGATCGGGGTGAAGGATGTGCGCAACTTTGACTTCCTGGACAGGCCCGACGCTGGGGTGAGATTGTGGGGAGGGAGGGGTTAGTAGTAGATTTATTGAACATATATTGAACATAACATATAAGATTTATAGAACATATGGTGAGGGGTTCGTATTCGGTATGCAGCTGGTGGTTGACAGATTTAGTCTTCGCTGCGTACGATTATAGCGAAGAATTTAACCATTCCCGCACTCTCAGCTCTGTGCGCGATGGTCTCAGCAGTCACACCGACGAGGGGTGGCCTGCCGCCGCTGTCAGTGTATGTTATGCCGCTCAGAGCCGAGGGAAAGGGAGAATTAAATATTTTTTATAATTGTTTTGTGATTTTTTTATAACTGTTGTGTTGATTGCTATTTGGTCGTTCTGTAGGATGTGTATGACTTTGTGATGCTGTTGTTGGCTGACATTTGACCGATGACACCACCCCCCTCGTCTTCTTTCACCTATCCAGGCGATAGATGGCGCGCTGCGGGAGCTGCAGCTGCTGGGAGCCGTGACGTCAGCCGAGCAGCCCGAGCTCACCCCACTCGGACGCAGGATGGCTTCGTTCCCGCTCGACCCCAAGTTCGCGCGCGCCATCCTGGCCTCCAAGGACCACGGCTGCACGTGAGTACCACCATGAGTGAGACTGGTTTGTTTTTTCTCTACAGATTTGGAGATCTTTACAATTCAGATCGTCCTTTTAAATGTCTGGATGAAATGCCAGTATTGCCAGCTCTACATAACGCGATTATCCGCGCCGATCTCTGCCGGATTAGTAAACCTTCACTTTGTAAGAGATGCTTCTTCTAAATTTTCCGTTTCTCCGTCGGATGTGCACAACGTCCGTTTTCTTAAATGTAGTAGGTGCGCACCATGGTTTCTCTCAGGGAAAAGATGCTGACATTTCCCGTTTCTCCGTGTAAGAGGAGGTGTTCATCATTCTGTGTTTCTCCGTCAGCGAGGAGGTGGTGACGATCATCGCTCTGCTCTCGGCCGATATCATCCTGTTGACTCCGCCGTCCAACCGCGAGGCGGCGCTGGCGGCGCGACAAAAGTTCGTCGCTCCAGAGGGAGATATGATGACGCTTCTCAATGTGTTTCGAGGCTACCGGAAGGTGCAGAAGAATAAGGTACGTGAACAGAACCATTGCGACCCAGTTGGCGGTAACGATACCCTCACAGTCTGGAAGAGTGCTCATTTCTCAGCACAAAATAAAATACTCTTAGAGTCGAACTCGTCTTTTAGTATCCAGTCAACCATCGCTAGGAACCTAAATTTACTCCAATGTTTCGTGTCTCCTGCAGGAGTGGTGTCGGGAGAACTATCTACACGAGCGTCACCTGGCGCACGCGGCCGAGATCCGCCGCCAGCTGTTGCAGCTGTGCGCGCAGGCTCAGCTGACCGTGGGCAGCTCCGGTCAGAACACGGAGCCGGTGCGCCGCAGCCTGGCGGCCGGCCTGTTCCCGTGCGCCGCACAGCTGACACGGGACGGGCACCACGTCACGGTGAGGATCACGGGGGGGGGGGGGGTGGCGGGACAGCTGTGGCCGACACACCGATTGTGGCCGATTTATACAGTTATATTTCCTCTTGGAATTTTTACTTTGGGTTGATTTATTTCTTGATCTTTTTTTCATTTTTCAGCTTGTTCCGTATATAATCATTTCGTTCACAAGTTTCTATTTTAATATGCAATGTGACAGGTTTTCATTTCTCACCGATGTTTTCTCACTACGCGCTATATGAATGATCGGTTTCTTCATCGATCGATATCTTGATATTTTGTTGTCATGGCCTTAATCTTATGCTGTCATATTCCAAAGCAATTAATCCACTGCTGCAAATGGATATATCACAACATTCAATAAGCATAATTTTCTAACAAGTGACAACATTTTACACGCATGCCATTGAATTTATTAGTTCTAACTGAGCGTATCTGTGTCTGTGCAGGTGGGTACGAACCAGAAGGTGCACATCCACCCGTCCTCGACGCTGTTCATGACGCGCCCAGCGTGCGTCATATTCACCGAGCTGGTACAGACATCCAAGAAGTACATGCGCGGTGTGTGCCTGGTGGACCCTGACTGGCTACTAGACGCGGCGCCCGAGTACTTCCGCACTCATCGGCTGCACGTGGAGTCCTAGTGGGGTGGTAGAACAGGCCTAAAGGGATACGGTACACCCGCACCGAGACCCAGACAGCGATACGGTACAACCGCACCGAGACCTACAGTAGGACGGCTGGGGACGGCTGGCTGTTGCACATCGAGTCCTGGTGGGACGGCTGCATCCACATGGAGTCCTCTAGTGAGGCAAATGCATCCTCATCGAGCCCTCGTGTAACGTTATAGCCGTTACGACTGTATCCATCGTACGATGATCCGGTTGTGTCCATTTGTGAAGTCTTTGTAGGGGCTCGTCAGCGATGGAGGGCTCTGCTCGGCGGCGCTTTTCGTCGCCTCTGTCGACCATGTGGACTAGGGACCAATGGTTGATAATCGATGCTGTTCTGATGTGTCAGGGGCCGGTGGTCTAGCCTGAGCCGGCAGAGACTAGGGGGTGAAGAAGCGCTGGTTTGCTTTGTTGACTGCCGGCGGGGTGTGTCGAGCGGCGCTCTCATTTTACGGATGCCATTTTTAGGTACTGGGTTTTATAAGAGTTATGATGTTACGTATGTGACATGTACGGATAATGACGTATGTTTGGTGATGCGTGAGGATGTGTCATATCATATCCGTTGTTTCCTGCACCGATTGTGCGCGGTATGTAAGCCACCTTTTGAAGAACGGATTTCGTTCGTTTCGTGTAGAAGGAATGTATTCGCCGCTCTCTGCCAAAGGGAACTAAGCTGTGTTTGTTTTACAATATACATGTAAATGATGTTACAAAACGCTTGAACTATCTACGATGCTTACTGATGAGAATAATTGCGGTGAAGATCGCCGAACGCCGGAACCGTTAAAAAATGGCGTCACAGGTCACCAGCCGAGTTTCCTACGACGGCCGGTTATGTTGGATCACTTGTCGAAAGGGCCCAGGAAAATTGCGGGTGACCTTCACGTAGGTCAGAAATCGCCGGCATACATTCGTCTAAATTTGCGGTACATATTGAAACTAGTTTCATTCACTCATATTTTCCCCAGCCCCACGGCTGTTTGGCTTTTTCCCAAGGCCGTATATTGATATTAGGTTTTTTCCTAAAAAGGAGGCGGCCGTCCGGTGAGAAGGTCGATCAGCTGATCGCAGTGCAGACAAATATGGCGCAGGATTTCTGTAATTTGGCACAGTCAAGCTCCGCTGGCTTCAACACAAAAGACTGAGCTGATAGATTAGGACGTTTTCTTATATTTGGTTGTCAGAGGCCGTGCCTTCAATAAATTTCACTGCCCTAGTGGTTAGCTGATACTGTAGGTTCCCCTGGAAAGTTGTAGTTGTTGTATTACAGAACAAGAATAACTATAACACTGGATTCGATGTCATTAATTGCACTTTGACTTCCTTTGAATGGAGTGAACAGAAAGCAACAATGAAATAACGGTGTTAACAATAACAATATATGTTAACAACATATGCTTGTCAAATCAAGCCCAACCTTGTTAATGCTACAACATTATACTGCAGTTTCTTTTTGAGAAACGCTACAAGCGCCATCAAAACATGGTGAGTTGCGTATTTTTTATATTTTATGATTTGTGTTTGTTGCTGATGATTGTGCTGTGCTGTTAATGAAAATTTTATTTTGGGACAAATACAAAAGGAGGTTTTTCTCATCAGATGGTATGGTGCTTATGACCACATACCTAGGTGAAAGCTGTGCCACAATTATTAGTCCACATCTCTTCATCCACAAATTTTGGTATATGTCAAGTTTAGGTCCTAACTACAATTGTGACGCTGTTGATACGAATATGAAACAGCAAAAATTTTAGGTTTTAGGTTAGGTTAGGTTGTAGGTTTGTAGGTTTTAGGTTGTAGGTAGGTAGGTTTGTAGGTTAGGTTAGGGTAGGTTTGTAGGTTGTAAGTTGGTAGGTTATAGGTAAGTAGGTAAGGTTAGGTCAGGTTTGATTATGTTTTTTTTTTCTTTTATTTGCGAGACAAATGAGTATCATTTTTGGATTCAGGATGTTAAATAATGTAAGAATATGAAAAATTTATCAATGAACTCTTCTTAGGACTTAAACTTGACATTTACCCAAATTTTTATCTTCACGTCTTTGTATTACATTTCCTCGTCAACCTAAACTGACTTATCCTGACCTACTCTAACCTTGAGCACATCCTTTTCCTGAGGTTTTTTAACCAGGTTGATATTGACTCTCCATGCTAATGCAGGACATTTGTAGATGCCCTGAAGATTCACCATGGCCTGCATGCAGGCTATATCCCCAATTTACAGATCAAGTTGTGCTAGAGTGATTTTTGTTTTATGTTTGCCAATGCCAATGCAATAAAATTGTAATTGGACAAATCAAATCCTGTTTTCTTACAGTTGATATGTGACCTCATAGGTCAGTTTGTTACCAAATAGTAACAGTGGTGAGATAGTGTGAATATTCAGTGAGAACAAGTTCCTTATTGTTCCAGACTGCTTCTGGGATATTGAAGAGGTGCTGGGTAGTGGGCTGCTAGGTTTTTTGTGAGGTTGCTTATGCTTGGTTTTATGCTTTTTATTATGTATAGGCTTACAACTGCTTGCTCAACAGAATAAGCTGAAGTCATCACAGCGAGAGAAGGTGAAGCACTTCATGTCATTCACCCAGTCAGGGGAGAAGACAGCCATCTACTGTCTGCAGCTCAATGACTGGAAGCTGGACATAGCGTCTGACAACTACTTCCAGAACCCCGACTACTACCACAAGGACTCCCGGCCGCAGGTGGACAGAAAGCGGCTGGAGCAGCTCTATCTGCGCTACCGAGGTGAGGCGCGAACTGAGGCCCGAGTTCGCCGGTCGCTGGCTGATAATTTGTGCCGACAGTGTACAAACAAACATGTTAAAGGAAACAGTCCACTTTCCTGAAATCAGTATTTTGCTATTGATTTATGATTTTTTATGTTCAAAATAATCATGAAATAAAATAAAACCTTTTTGTAAAAACAATTATTTTCTATATTTTAATATAGGACGAACTATATTCTATGTAAAATAATGTTTGACGCGGAAGCTTATTACGCATTGACCAATCATATTGCGTAGCTCAAACCTACGCTACTGCATTGGCTGTAAGCAGCACGCTGATTGGCTGACGATGACGTGGCTGCATTCCTGTGCAAGGCACGCATTCCTCTACAAGGCACTCTTTTCGGAACGAGAAATGGAATATCTTCGTCTAGGGTGATCGTTGAGCCGTAAAAGCTCCTGATTTGTGCTAGTCTCAGCTCAAGCTACGAAACTGCTATTCCAGCTCAAAACCCCATGTTAAAAGTGAACTATTTCCTTTAAGGTGTTCCCTAATGCCATTGTAGCTTTCAATGTGAAAGTTTTGTGATGTTAGAATTTTCATAACACAATGTTCGATCACAGGAATATTAGTCCTCCAATTTTTGGCTTCTTTCATGTCAGCTTTGTAAAATTTCAATTGACCTATCGTTCGCTGGTTTAATGGCTGTCTGCCAGTGGGTGCACGACTCGTGTTTTGCGGGTATACCGTTCGTCGTTCGTTGTTGACGGATGTGCCGTCCGTCTATTTACGCCCCTCTCTCTGTCAGACCCTCACGAGCCGGAGAAGATCACCGCTGACGGCGTGATGCGCCTGCTGGAGGACCTCCAGCTTCACCCCGAGAGTCGCCTCGTGCTCATCATCGTATGGAAGTTCCGCGCGCAGACGCAATGCGAGTTCACCCGACAAGAGTTCTGTCAGGGCATGTACGACCTCGGGTGAGTTTTAGAACGATCTCGGCAGTCCGCCCGCCCTGTTGCTCCAGTAAACAAACAAATAATGCGACACAGTTTGCACTTTATCCAATGAGCTGTAGCAGAACGTCGGTGGTCTCGGGTGAGGCGTGAATTACTGGCCGTCTCGGGCTGGGCGTTGCTGCAAATTTAGCCCGACATAGCGAAGGTGTAAGGTATATATTCAATCTTGTGATGATTTTGTTTGACCAACGGCTTGCAAAACTTGCCCCTGATCGTACGCTCTCTGTTCGCAGCTGTGATAGTATCGACAAGTTGAAGGCGAAGCTGCCACTGCTGGACGCCGAACTCAGGGACCCGGCCAAGTTCAAGGACCTTGTACCAGTTCACGTTCAACTACGCCAAGAACCCGGGCCAGAAGGGGCTGGACCTGGAGATGGCCATCGCCTACTGGCGGATCGTACTAGGAAACCGGTTTCCCTATTTGGAGCTGTGGTGTAACTTCCTCATGGTGAGTGCGATAGCCATGTTTCCGCCAACATTCGTGATATAACAGAATGTTAGCATTCATGATAACTGAATGTTTGTCGTACGTTCGACGAGCTATGTGTTGATAGAGATGCTTTTTGGTTAATGATGAAGGAAATCGATGTCGTGATATCGTTGTCTCTATAAGCCTGGTGAGTCGTCTTAACGGTCCCTAGACACTTTGCTTCCGTTAACTATAATCTCAGAATGCAAGCTTTGCGTCCTTCACATTAACGTTACAGCGTGGATATCGTTAAACATTTTGGCACCTCCCGAAGGATATGCCCTCACATGCATACCTAATCGGAGAAGCCCTTGGTATCAAAATGTTAAATATTTATCGTCCACGCGGCACAAACCACTGCGCAGTGCGCAGTTTAGTCCAATGAGGCCCGTGTGTGAGTTCGTATAAATGAATCGCTGTTATTTGCGGTCAATATTACAGCGGCATGACATTGTATGGGGACAGCGGGGGGCGGGTATGGGGGGGGGTCGAACGGGCCCCCTTCGGCTTTTCGCGAAAAACTCGCGTAAAAAGCGGCTGATCGCGACGAAACTTTCAGTATCCTCGGATTAATCAATTTTACACCTACCCTGAAAATTTCATGACCCTGACCCAAATGACCTTTGACCTGTGACCTACTTTTCGAGACCACGTTCGGCCGGAATCGCTATTCGGTGTATGTCGGCTCGCAGTATCCGCGCGTTTACAGTCTTTTCGTGGTTTCAAGCGTTCAAACATATGATATGATGTTGGTCCCATGCATTAGGATGGGTGTCAAAGTACCTGATGGTCAGGTCAGGTCATTGACCTTTGATGACCTCGGTTCACTTTTCGAGTTTTACAAGTTTCTTGGTTAGTTTTTGGAGCTGAATTCAAATTTAGCAACCATTTGAACATTTAGGAAGTAGTTTGGGGGCCTTCGTAACATGTTACGAAGCTGTCAGAGGTGGTCGACACATACTACGATTACCCGGCAGGTAATCGTAGTAATTACCCTGACGATTACCCCGCAGGTAAATAACGATTACCCCGCAGGTAATCGTCAGGCAGGTAACCCCTACTGGTTGACCTGGCCTGACCTGACCCGACCTGGTCCAAATGCATGAAGACATCATCAGTGATCAAAACTAACTTGATATTCGTGATCAGCTCCCGGAAACCCCATAGCAGTCACACTTTACGACGTTCTAACAGGTCCCGATTCTCCCGACTTTTGGGTCATTGACCTGACCTGGAAGGTCAACTAAAGACCTAGGACCTTAAAATTGGGTATCATCGGCTTCCTCGCGTCACGGGCAACACGTTCGTTTTTTTCCGCGAAGATCTAGCTCGATCAGGGGCGACCCCCCCCCCCCCCTTATACGTTCGTGGCTGGCAAAACACCAATATGGGTGAGGGTTAATGAGGCCAGCCATGATGAGTCATAGATCCGAATTTTTTTTCGGAAGTAGAATTCGAGCCTCAATATTACCTATGAGTGTTTATACCCGGATATTGAATATTGGTATCGATTAAATATTTGTAAAGCGGGCAACTCCTTCAACCCGACACAATCATGAACGTCAGTCGTAATCATGACATTGCGCCATGTAACATGTTGACGCCGTCTGGCGCCGTCACTAACATTGACTCTGACACTGACACTGATGCTGACGCTGACACTGACACTGATGCTGACACTGACACTGATACTGACACCGACACGCCTTTGTCCCTAGGAGCATCACCGGCGCGACATCCCTCGCGACACGTGGAACCTACTGCTTGACTTTGTGCTCACCATCAACGAGGACCTCTCCAACTACGACGAGGAGGGCGCCTGGCCCGTGCTCATCGACGACTTTGTCGAGCACGCGCGGCCCATCGTGCGACAGCGCCGCGGCACGCGCGTCTGAGACAAGCCGAGCGGCGCGCGGCCGAGCGCGCTGCGGGCCGGCTCAGTCAGGGAGAGGGGCAGAGAGGAGGCGGCCGGGCCGGGGGGACGGCCACCGGTGACGGGCGGAGGCCTGACCTGCTGGGGTGGCGCCCACGTCAGTCAGCGTGGCGAGAGCGCGGAGCGGCGGGCCGCGGCCGGGTACCAATGTACAATCACTGCTGCTTTTATACCGTTCCCCGGCGGCACAGCCGCTCCTGTCCGTGCGGCCGCCGCCCGGCGCGCCTTGTGACGGGACGACGCGTCACTAGCCGTTATGAGCAGCGCTAAACCGCCGCCCGGGTGCCACGCAAACTCGAACTCCGTGTGAGGGGACGCTTGTGGCGGCCCGCGAGGCTCAGTAACTAGAGTGGTCCGCCTCACTGGTGGCTTTCACGCCCAGATAGGGCCGACTGTAGGATGAAACAGAGAACGGCCGTAGTGTGAGATTGTCCCCTGTTGTATGGACGAGTGAGGCTGGACTACCAGCGGGTGTGTGCCGTTCTAGGTCTGATGGTCGCCGCGGCCGGGTGGTGTGATCGGCTGGTGGTGACGGCACGTTTATTTCTCTGTCCGGGCGCCGCCCCCGCCCATCGCTACCCGTCATATATGGGCGGGGTCGGCGTCAATACGGGCTGTTTCTCTGTGGGATAGTTTTAGTCAGTGCTGTGGGCAGGTTTGTTCAATAGTGATCGATTTTCTCTCAGTATGCTCTTGGGCGGGTGAATCCGTCTGAAGGCTAACAGCTTCGTTTTCCCTCTGACTCTTGTTTCGTCTCCCGTATTCAAATCATGGCCCGGTGACCAACAAAGGCTGCCAACTGACACTTCTATCGAATATCTGCCGTTAGCGTGATTGACTAACGGCTTTATTGCCCGTATCTGAAGTGTTTTCCGTTCCCTTTACTACTTATTGACTGGTGTGGCTGCCGCTGGTACCGGGCCGGACTGCTGGGCTGCTGGTGTTCTGCAGTTCTCGGCGGCCTGACGGCGCCCCCGTGGATAGTTGTTCCGTGAGCCTCGCCACGGCCGGTCGCTGGACCTGACGCTGGCTGGCAGTCGTAGGCGCCGGAAGGAGGGGCGACACGGGCGGGGATTGTCGCCCCCGGGCACTCACACTGTGGTTAGGAGATATTGCGGTCTGTTTTGCGGCTTGTGATGCCGCCAATGCCGCGTGAGAATCACTAAATACATGTACGGTGATGTGCTCGTGTTTCTGAGACCGATGGGGTGTAAATTGCTGGTCTGGTGAACACAAGTTGCTGACATCTGTTGAGAGTTGAAAACGAATGCGAAACAAGAAAATCTGATCGTAAACTTTTGATGGCGTGTTATCGTCCCAAAGCTACAAATCCAGTCCCTTTCTATCCCTGTCGGAATTTGCCACCGTGCCCTTTTAAGATGACCCGTTTGACCCCAAGTGACCCCGCTGTCCCCTCCCCTCTGCGTACGAGGACGGGGCTGGGTCAGTCGGCCGGCGGGCTCGGCCTGGGGTGTGCTGCGGCAGGGACGCCGGGCCGGCCTACCCGGCCTCTTCTAGAGTTCGCCTGTGGAGGTGAGTGATGAGTGTTTGAGTTGTCGGCAGTCTTATGGATCGGATATTCTAGCGGGTTGAGAAAGTCGATGGTAGAATGCTATGTGAGTTGTTTGTGGGCGTTATTTGTTATGTCCCTGTCGTCGATCAAGTCTTCGGTCAGTGCCATTTATTGTTCAGGGCTTTATTCATCCACCATCAAATGTTCTGTTTTTATTCGCCCTCTGTGCAAAACTTCTCAAGCAATGTAGCCTGTAACAAAGCGATATGTACAATAAATATTCCCTGTGACTTGTGAATGTCGGCACCAGACGCAATGGGGCAGTCAGAGTCTCGCTCGTGTCACGTGTTTCACGGTGACGGCAGCCGGCAGCACTTCCATACCATCCCACCCGGCGCCGTCGCATTGGACCACCGTCGTCACCACGATGCGCCTGGAGGAGTGGTTCTTCCAGCTGACCCAGCGGGCCGACGCCGAGGCACTGGTCAACCAGCACGTAAGCGTGGCCGGCGCCTGGGACCTGGGCGCCCTGCTGCCGGCCGCCAGCCTGCTGGCTCTCCTGCTGGCCTGCTGCTGCCTGCTGCCGGGCCTGCGCCGGCGCCGGCTGCACTCTGCCATCGCGGTACGCACGGCCCGATCGGAGGGGAGGGAGGTGTAAATTTGGGTATATTGAAGATCGCACGCTAGGTGGTTGGCTTATTTGCGTTTAGGTGATCAGATATATCTTTACACCGTCAAACCGTTCGCTGTTTGTTGGTTATATCGACTAGTTAGATCTTGAAATCTAACGGCAAACATTTCTAGCATGGTCAGCCAAAGATTGTGGTGGGTGAGCCTAAAGTAAATCAGCTAGCTGACTTTATCTTAGAACTTTATCGCTGACTATCCGTAGAAACCGCTGACAGCGCCTTTTCCTCCCCTCCTCACCCCTCACTCCCGCTCTCCCGACAGGTGATCTGGAGTGCTGGCACGGGCTGTAGCCTGGCCTGCGTCTACTGCAACCCCAGCTGGGCAGCGGTGGGCGGCCGCGCCACCACCGCCCTCTCGTACTCTTCCTCCACTGGCCCGGTGGACTGGGTTCTCGCGGTGCGGTTTGGCCTGCACGGCGCCGACCTGAGGCTGGACTCACCCACCGGCCAGTTCCACTACCGCGACCAGCTCGAGTGGCCCCTCACGCCGCGCGGGATGACCGAGCTGTACCGGGGCGCGCTGCGCCGCGGGCTCGCCGTGCCGCTCGTCACTGCGCTCGAGGTGCTCTCCAAGGACGCCGGACCGTGCACGTACGGGAGGCATTTCCGGCGCGCCGGGTACGTCACCAGCTGGCTGGTGGGTGGGCTGTTGGCCGCCTGGCTGGTCGGCACCCTCCTGCTCGGTTCTGTACCCCACCTGGCTGCCAAAACCATGTGCTGGACCGGCGTGCTGGCGGCGGCCACGGCCGGCACCTACGCTCTACTGATGCCCTCCCACGAGATGCAGCTGCGGTTTGACGGGGTGCTGATGCGGGTCCACCTCTCCTGGTGCTTCTGGCTGCTGCTGGCTGTCGGGGCGCTGAATATAGCGCTCGGTGGGTGGATGCTATACAAGGAGAGCCGCTCCCCCGGGTACTTCTCCACAGTGTTTGAGGTGGACTTCGACATGCCCGTGTACCGGTACGGTTGGCCGACCGCCCCCAAACCGGCGCGGCCACTGCCCGCACTCAGGTGAGGCATGTGTCACGTAAGTGTTTGGGGGAGGGGAGGCGAAATGGGGGCGGTCGATGGCCCTACTTTCAGCTGGGGCACCGCCGGCGACTAGCAGTGATATCGTTTGGCCAAATCGCACTTGACATACATTATGCAAAGTGCATAAGCCCGATTTGTTAGAATAGTTTCGACCTGTAAAGTATAAGCAAATTAGTAAGCGTAGAGCGTCCAATGCACGTCCATGAAGACAGCAACGCATTCGTACAACGCGCTATGTGGGTCTGTTTGCAAGATGACACGGATAGTCTGGTTCCCAGACGTTTTACATATGCATACCTCTTTCAATTGCCAGAACGTAAACGTCCGACTCAAGCCTGTCGCTTGCATAAGAATAGGAAAATAATTGCTCCGGGGACCTGAGTCGGCCGCCTACAATTATCAGTCTTATTTATCTCCATGCCATATTGACCTCTATTAAGCTCAGTGATGTCTGACGCACGCAGCTGTGATTTATTAACTAACCTGTGTGTTACTCACCCTCAGGAGAAATGACCTGCGACTGAATATCGACTTTGTCATGAACGACCTATCCGGCGGCGCCACTCCGACTCCGACGGAAGAGAGGTCAGTGAGAGTGGTCTTGACCGTTATTTTTCACTATATCGGTACGAAACTCTATCCGCATTTCATTTAAGTGCTCACACAACAGAGTAGAGCTTTGTCATACGGCGGATAAGGCTGCATCATGTATGGTTGGTGCTGTAGGACTCGCTGCTCCCGGGGGGGGGGGGGGGCAGCATATGGACGGTAATTATATTCGCATATTCGCATAAGAACAGTAATTGGACGAAGCTGACGAAGAGTTTCGCAGGGAACTGCAGGCTGTGTTGCCAAGTCTCTGGATCAGAGAGCCATTACCGTGTGTAATCTACAATCCTTATAACCCTCTGCCCGCCATTCTCCAGGTTCGCCACTCCATCGTACACAGCGGAGGCGACTCAGCCGTTCTGGACACCGGGCAGCATCCCCCGCCGGCCGCCGCCGCCCGAATCCCCGCCAGTGTGTGGGGACAGCCGCCGTAACTGGCTGTACCCGACTCTGGAGGCCACCCCTGCGCCATCCGCGCCGCCGCTGCCGCCCACATTCGCCACTGAGAACACCTGCAAACGGCGCACCCCGCGCAAGACGGCCGCTGGACGGTCCCGGTCGGCGGAGCGCAGCGTCGCGCTGCCTCTCGAGGAGGAGTTCGCACACACTCGGTAGGCGGCAGGCGAGCCGGCTCACCAGAGAAGATTGGGAGCCTATGAAAGCTGGAGCAGAAGGCGACACCTACCGTCTGACGCCGACAGGGCTCTCCTGACCTATTTAAATACCGTAGAATGGGGTCGCCTCGAGACTGAGACCTAGGGGACTCTCAGCTCAGGGATGGGTGCGTCAAAGATGCCTTAACAAATGCTCAGTGTTGATAGATATACAATAGCTCAGAATCCGGTTTGTTATGTTAATGAATCGATGCATGAATAATACAATGGTTGACTACCGTCCAAACTCTAAAGTGAAGTGTTTGTCTCGTAGGTTCAAGCCTCAATAACTTCAATCAGTGAAGGAACATTCGATTTTATTGCACGATGCGCGCAGTGAGTGAAATAACAATGTGTCGACTAGAATCACACTTGATGAGCGAACGCAACGAATGCACATGGAAACAAATACGTCAAGTGGTGAGTACGACACAACTACGGCACTCGCTGCGCCCACGCCACCTGATATGTATGATCGCGGTGGCTCGGATTCTTCGGGAATAGTGCCAAAAATAATTTGCACTGGTGAGGTGACAGCGGATATAGAAAATGAGCGGTGCATCGTCCGACCCGCCTCAATTTATGTGTGGAGTGAATGACCGTATCGGGAAATTCACACGCGCATGCCGTGCATGTATGTCATGACTCTTTCCAGCAAATAGCTGTCATTCCGCGCCTATACCACACGAGATCAGAGCTCCAAACAGCGTGACGCACAATTTCCTCACCGTGGGCACTTGGTGTTGGATTTCTCAGTCTGTCCCGGGGCCGACTCACCCCTCTCGCCGCTCGGCCTCCGCCGTCTCCGCGCTCTGTCTGACGCGTGACGCCGACGCTCACACTTTAGCCTTGGCCTGGACGGGCAGGTAGAGTTTGAACTCTGCCGGCAGCTCGTCCTCCGAGTAGAGACGGTCCGAAAAGTAGATGCGCCGGATGCGGCAGTTGGCGTGGATCTGCACGCGCAGCGTCTCCACGTAGTTGGTGCCGTACGCGCGGCGCGTGAAGTCGGCCAGGTTGAACTGGATCTGCCGAAGGACGGGGAGGGGGGGGGGGGGGCGGAGGGGTCAGCCTAGGCACTGGTCAGCCAGAGACTGAGCTGAGAGAGCTGGGTACCGATAAGACAAAATACAACCACCGAAATAGCATTTACCTTCATCGTTTTGATGCATCCAACTCGCCACGGCTCAAACTGCAGCAATAAAAGTCCACATCACGATACATCGGGCTGGCCACAGCATTTTGTCGACAACAAAACAGCAGCCGGGTATCGAGTACTTACAGCTTAAGCTCGAACACCAACCACACTACAGCAATAGCATTCCCTTACCTGATTCCATCCATCGTCGAGCCGCATGGGCATTGTACAGATGAAGGGTTTGACCCGCGTGGTGGACTGGTAGTTGGAGGCCCGGAACCGACGGCGGACGTTCTTGTCATCCAGGACCTGTGGGGTGATATAAACGGGTCAGTCAACGTTCCCACTGCCTGGAAAAAATCACTTCAGAAACTCAGAACCTTTCCCACCTACCCGTGCCCTACGAGAGTTAATGCCTGTTGTTCCGGAGGACACAACACCACAATAAACCTATTGGGACCCACTGCGAGCCCACCTAAGTGGCTCAAATTTAAGTTTGAAAGTCTCGCAGATCATGGCATGCACTATCTCACTGAGTGACTGGGTGAAAATGTCTCCGGAAAGCTGGGTGATTGGGTTTCAAAAAGATGGAACACAAAAACCAGTCAATGCCTGCCATTGGTTTAGCACCATACGGCATACCTGCACTTCGAATGTGAAGTATTTCTTCAGATTCTTGATGATCATGACCAGGAATGGCAGCTTGATGCCCAGAGTCTTCTTGGGATCAGCAGGGCAAGTGATGAATGTGGTGCTGCAAAAATTATACACCATCAGACAAGAAACAGCGACACATCTTTAATGTAAACTCTTGTATAAAATCTTGCTAAATAGACTGCAATACAGCATTTTGTATAAAAAATGCTAAAATATATAGTCACTTATTTACATTGTAGCATACCTAACATATTCTGCCTGTCTTCTTCAGAAAAAGGGCCTACCTGACATTTGTTCCAACAATCTCCAGAACCAGAGACTGAATGTCGTTGTCAGTGATCCTCTTGATGTGTCCATTTCTGACCTGAAAATATGAATAGAGGCTGTGAACTTTCAAAGAGATGCTTTCACTAGGTGGCTGATACATTCAAACATGAAACAATGTTAAGAACAGCAAACTGGCATGCAGATAATCATATCAAAGAGCCTGACTGAACCTCAGTGACTGAATCTTAAAAATATGAGCATTGCCAGGTGAAGATGTAATCATTTCAGACTACAAAAATGTTTGGGTGCCTGTATCACCAAATCATTCCATTTTATGCTTACTCGTGTTGAGAAACGAGGCTCGCAAAAATGGAATAGGAACAGCATATCAATATTGCCAGTTCCAATCTGAGAATAGTAAATGAATTGCAACAAATACCAACTGACCTTCTTGTCCCAAATTTGAAGAGGCTTGCTCCCAATGCTGTACAAAATTGATAAAAACCCACTCTGAAAGGTGTTTTTGAACATTTTGCCCCCCTCCGCTTGATGGACTCGAAGACTTGGCTTAGTCAAAGGTCAGCAATGAGGTAGAGTTGTGTTATTTCCAATGAAAATCCAACAGAAAACTAACAGAATGTCTCTCTAAAATACACTGCAGGTTCCCACGTTCTTATTTTAAACAATAATGCGGCCCGAGCCCTACTAGCAGCCAAGGCTAGCAGCCAGACAACACAAATGTGCGGCATTCCGCATTTCACAATAATGGAATTGTAATTACTGTTAGAACATTCTTTTGATTGCGTCACAAGACTTACAAACGTCTGCCAATTTCGTCTGTTTGTCAAAAATAAAGTTACGTTATCAAGCTATTTTGGATAGGTTTTGATACTAAATGTGAAAAATGAAGGCAGTTGGTGATAAAAATTAAGCTCATAAAAAGGAAGGGAAACGAAAAAAAGGAATATTATTACTTAATCTTTAAATCAATGACGTCATATAACACTTTCTTGCAAACGTGAAGAAAAGAAATCAATGTACGATACGTTCCAGAAGACAACGCTATTTCAAGGTCCAGTAGATAACGGTAGAACTGTGAGCAACCAATCAAAATGCGAGTAGCAGGACTATTTGCTTCCACTGTAGATGGATAAACTTGTTTTAACTCCTAACCACTCTTGTTACCATGGAAACGCGGATTCATTGACTACGCTTTGAATGGGGAGCGCGGGTATCTCCGGTATCTCATTCCATTCATTCATTCATTCATTCGCCAGTCGACGGAAACAAGCCAGCATAGCGGACGGAGCCGTACTACTGGCCCGAGGCGCTTTCGCGCTTTGCAACTGAGAGTGGTACCCCGTACCTACCTATAGTTCCTGTCTGCTTCCGGCGATAGGGAGGTAAGTTGAAGCAGGGCTGAAGGGCTTGAAGGGCTGAGAGGAAAAGCGGTTCATTCCGGCCTCGTGACTTAGAAGGGTCCCTCCAGGCTCCAAGCCGGAAGCCCTCAGTCCGTCGTCGGCCTGTGATATCCCGTGCGTCGGTATCCGACTAAATGGACCCCGGCCTTTACTTCGGCATCGGCACCACGTCAGTCTCTCGATCTCACGCGGGCCCCTCCCCCTGCTAATCCAGTCATCATTTTGGCCTGGCTCAGGCTCGAGTCCGTTTCGCCACGGGCCACGGTACTGCAGTGGCGGCGCCACGAATTTTCGCCAGTGGGGGCAAGCTTCAGGTGACCCGACTGTTGTCTGATAACCCGATCTGCAAAATCCATGAGCTCCTTGCCCCTAGATGTTGCCAATTAGAAATTATCATGGTTTCAGGTTTCATGCATACGTATTGAGCTTAAGCATTAACCCTCCCGGGCCCGGAACGGGGGGGGGGGGGCGTTTTTTGCCTCCCCTGGCGAATATTTGCGATACCACATGAACGCTTAGGAGTAGACAATAATCAGTAATCAGTACCTAGTTCTCTTTTTTACCGTAGTGCGAATATATGCGATTCTCTCACACACGATTGATACCAGAATAAGCTCTATTAGGGCGATCCATATACATTTCCAGATAACCCGGATATACATACCTACCTATCACATTTTGTCATACCTCCCTGAGCTCGGTCTCACGGTTCGTCGGAAGGTCATCTCAGGCTCAAAAGAAACGGTATATACCATTCGAAAGCTGACGGTGAGCTGAATCAAAAAATGTAATTTTTATCAAAATGGATCGATGGCCTTTTTTGAAAATTGCGTTTTTGTAAAGACTAAATAATTTTTTAATCAACGGGCTGTCCCGGGCATTCTGGAAAAAATAAACATGTTTTTTTTTTAGTTCCAGTGAAAGCTGAACGACAAAAGAACAATATTTAGCGAAGCAATATTTCCTAACATTAATATGCGGGTCCCACAGCCGACAATAAGGCGCAATCACACAGCTCAATGTCACGATGGACCAAAGCCAGCCACACAGAAGCGTGAAATGACCCTTATCGACTCACAGACCCGGCGCTCTCGGCCCGCCTGACCGGCCACGGAAAGAACGTTCGGCTCTCGTTCTACTAAACAAATGTCATATTTGTCAGTTTAACTGTCCACATCGCTATTAAAGTTGTTCAGGATACTTGTGAAGAAAATTCATTGTTCTGCTTGATTTACAACATGCTTTAATTTACATTTTTCTTATACATGTTTTGTTCCATCCAGCTTCGCTCAGTGCCCGCGAAGGGGAAGTGAGCGGGGTTTCACTGTCAGAGGCTGTACTGGTGACAGCTGCTCGGCCCTGCGACCGGTCAAAGGTTACCCTGCCCCACCGGGCGCTACCCCCACTTCACCGGAGCTGAGGCCGGTGCAACCTCTGACATTTCAGCGCGGCCAATTTTCCTTTATGGGCATGATACCAAGCTCAATTGAGCAAAGTAGACATGAACAAATGTAAATTAATGCATGATGTGAAGATGACAGAGCAATGAATTTTCTTCACAGGTATCCTGAATAACTTTAATAGCGATGTGGACAGTTAAACTGACAACTATGACATTTGTTTAGTAGAACGAGAGCCGAACGTTCTTTCCGTGGCCGGTCAGGCGGGCCGAGAGCGCCGGGTCTGCGAGTCGATAAGGGTCATTTCACGCTTCTGTGTGGCTGACTTTGGTCCATCGTGACACTGAGCTGTGTAATTGCGCCTTATTGTCGGCTGTGGGAAACGCATATTATTGTTTGGAAATATTGCTCCACTAGATATTGTTCTTTTGGCATTCAGCTTTCACTGGAACTCAAAAATACATGTTTATATTTTCAAGAATGTCTGGGACAGCCCGTTGAATAAAAAATTATTAAGTTTTTACAAAAACGCAATTTTCAAAAAAGGCCGTCGATCGATTTTGATAAAAATTACATTTTTGGATTCAGCTCACCGTCAGCTTTCGAATGGTATAAATCGTTTCTTTTGAGCCTGAGATGACCTTCCGACGAACCGTGGTCTCAGTCTAAGGGTTCCCAAAAGAGGGTGAACTCTTCTCTGGCCGACTTTGACAAGCTGCCTCTCAACCTCCTCGGGGTCAAGCTCGAGGGCAGCCTTCTGGTGAATGAAAATGAGTAGGAAAATGAGTGGGAGTAGGAGATATGCGACAGACGGTCTGAGAACGAACGTTCTGCTGATGCACTTGATACGGGAATCGTCAAAAACAGGCGTACTATTATAACCGCCTATCATGAATATTGCACCGGTCTTCTGTTCCCATTTCAACATCAGCCAAATTTTGTGGGGCAAAAACATAGTCTTGCCCCCACGGCCTCCTGCCAGTGGGGGCAGTCTGCCCCCACTGCCCCCACGGTGGCGCCGCCCTTGCACGGTAGCCCTGGTTTTCGCCGACGTAGGCCGGACGTAATCTACATTCTACCGAACTGTAGTAATCACTTATCAGGACTGAGGCATGCGGTATGGTATATCTATATACGACGATAGAGCCCAAGCCGGTCTCTGAAGACCTACCTCACTTCAGTCTCTGAAGGCACGCCGGTCACTTCCGCTGGTTTGCTTGTTATGTTTTCGTGGCCTGCCGCTAATAGTGATATCGGCCGAGTGGTAAGCGGTCGCTTCCCAAGCTGGTCTCTGAGGACCTTAAATCAACATCGGCTTTAGAGAACCTCACAGTACACCGACCCGGACCCCTGCACATCGCTCACGGGCCTTTGAGGAACCCATAAGGGTTCTGAATTCTGATGATCCTGCGCCGGGTTCCAGAGACCCCAAGACGGACTCGTAGCGCGTGGCGTCCTCAGGGGTCTCCGAGCGGGCCGGTTTGATGGGCAGTTTGAGTGTCATAACGGGTTCTGAGAGCCGGCCATGACTAACTAGCTCTGAGAACCACCACACTGGCTCCCGAGCGACCCCAATGCCCGTTGGGCTTAGGTATATCGTCAACCAAACGTAAATTGGTTCTTTTCTTTTTTTCAGGTCACCCAACGGAGCTCAGACAAGAATAGAGTTCCAATAATATGAATAGTTCGGAATTTTATTTTATTTCTTTTAGTGAATGCAAGCCAGCACAAATTGTTATACCTAACTGATGAGTGCCGCTATACCATGCCATTTTCGTTAGTCTCCTGGTTATAACCCGATTTAATTCCGCTCTACTCTCCATGCCATATGTCCTACAGATGCGGTGCCAGCGATGAGTGCGAAAGGCCTCCTAGCTGGCGCTGCTGCTGCTGCCGCCGGCTCGGTCGCTGCTTCTGCCGCCGGCTCGGTCGCCAGCTCTGCCACCGGCTCTGAGGATGCGGCTGCCGCTGCGGAGGCCAGCGCCGTGCGGCCGGCGGCGGCGCCCCCTCCGGCCGGACCGGCCGCACTCGGCAACCCAGTGGCGCTGACGTCCTTCTCCAAGCTGGTCTCCGCCAGGAGGAAACTGGTGAGCGAAGCGGGCCGCTGCCACGGCCGCCAGCTATGATTATGAGGGCCCGAGTCATCACGGATGGTAGTTTGGTGTGTCTTTTGGTGCTCTGTGTTTTATTGTCACGGTACGATGAAATGTAGGTGATGCATGTTGAATGATGTATGGGTGCTATTAACTAGATGTGATTTTTGAGATTGAGAATAACCCGCCATGTTCCGTAACTTGCGGTAGATTTTGCGGATTTTGTATCTTAACTAACGGTATATTTTTGGTAATTTATGTTGCAATTAACAGTAAATTGACGCTGAGTTGACCAACATTGATACAGTCAACACGCTTTTGTTGTTGCATCAATGTAACTAGTTGCAACAAAAATCTTCATCGACACTTAGCTTGCTTTTAACTGAATAAGTATGGTTTTCCCGTCATCCAGTTTCGTTTACAGGTCCGCATGCTCTTCTTTGCAAGCAATGGAGCTTGGTTTAACAATCGTGTATAGAAATAAACTAGACTCGAAAGCTACCTTGATAATAACTAAATGCGTTCTGTATCGTAGGCTGTTGTATGTGGGCTAGCGGGGGTGTTGCCATAAGTGACCAATAATTCGCCGGGAAGGGACTCGGATAATTATATGTCGTTTTATTTTGCGCACCGGACTGAGGGTCGATGTAATGGTGGCAGCGTCATACGCCAACCATCGTAACTCAAACTATGATCCTGGCAGAGTCAGATGACAGATCTGATGGCGACAACCCCGTTCAGTTCCTATAAACAAAAATGACATGCTATCCTTTGCTGAGGCCATGGTACTCGATGTTGTGCTGCACCCGTTGAGTAGCGTTTGGAGCCCTGCAATGACCTGTGGCCAGTGACCCGTGCTCTTCCTAACTCGTCGCTCCCGTCTTATAGAATGTAGCCAATACCTGGAGAAAGTCGGCCATGGGATCGGTCGAAAGCGAGCCGCCCGTCCAAGTGGTAAGATATGCTGAATGATTTTTGTTCGAAAATATGTCCGATCGTCAAAATTGTACAAATCTGGGTGACTCGTCCGGGCGCATCGGCATGATACTTGTTCATAAGCACCTACCGTTTAAGACCGGATGGGAGCATGAGGATTTAGCGTTGCTTGCTCTACCGAATTTACATGTTTGTAACGGTTGATGGTCTCATGCCCTGAACATATGGCTGTCCGTTTCCCGTGAAAATCGTGCGACTTGCGTTGTCCGTCATGGCGAATATCATTTCAATATTATCTAGTAGACATAGTATTATGTTTTCTCATAGGTAAAATACGCAGTGCGTACTACCAACCACTGTCAAGTGTCAACCCATCGCCTAATCTATGTGATTTCTTTGTAGTTTAATTTTTAATGTTCCAGCTTGATATCAACGCCTAAATTTTATAAGTGCTGAGCTTGGGTCCAGGCAAAATCTTCAATTTTTATTTATTTTTCCAAACAGAGGGGAAAATCCGATCAGGGGTCCGATCTGAACCGTGCTCTTGTGCGGTCACATATTCTGCCTACAGTCTACATACTGTGCCGCATTGCTCCGGAGCAGTGCGGGACAGCCTACCGATTCAGGCATCCTGCGGTCTCCGAGCATTCGATGGTCGCCGTCTGGTACCTTTCTGCTGATTGCTGACTCCAAAACCGCCTAGCTCTACTCATACGGTTATCGATATAGGCACTGCTGTCAAAGATATGGTGCTAGGAATGTATTTTCAAAGTGTTGCATTTGGTCGGAAGTTCCACTCAAACAGCTAATTGGTTGCGTACGTATCTATTAATTGACAGTTTATCCTACGCAATTGCTTTGTGGTTATCCAGTAAAACTAAAAACATCTCCAATGAGACCCCTTGAACCGTGCATGTATCAGTGTTTCCTTTTGTTAATTGCTTTTGTTTTGTTCATACCACATTGTCTCTGTCATGCACACATGTCACTGACGTCCGACAGACAAGAGCTGTCTTTTGATCTTGGTATGAAACGACTCGACACTATCTGCATTCTGCAAGTCATCAGAAGAGCAGCCTGTCAAGCTGGAGTGACCACCTCGTAATGTGGTGTTTCAAACCGGGCTCGCTAAACACAACCTTGAACCTAAAGTACCAATGGCTCATTCGTGTCGGTGGAGGCGGGGGGGGGGGGGGGGGCACTCGTATACGCTGTTTACATTCCTGAAATACATTAAGTAGGTTTCAATCGTGCCTTACGTGTGTGCTACTTTTGTTCTCATTCTTTCCCTTTAACTTGTTCGTAAATTTTTCGTCTCGGTTGTTGACCGACGGTAAAATGTTCGTTTATCGTGTCGGGGAGTCAGGTGGTGCTTTTTCTGACACCGGGGTTTGTGTCACTGACACCTGACTGTGACACCTCTGACACTAGACTTTAAGCCCGGGTATAGCGTCCCCCCACCTCGGCCCCCTCTGGCACCTCTGACATTAGACTTTAAGCCCGGGTATAGCGTCTCGCCACCTCAGCCCCCTCTGGCACCTCTGACATTAGACTTTAAGCCCGGGTATAGCGTCCCCCCACTTCAGCCTCCCCTCTCCGGGCGGTGTTTCGACAGAAACAGGAGGCGCCCAGCCTGCCGCTGCGCCGCCAGGAGCTGGACGGCCGCAGCGAGTACCTGCTGCGCTGCCTCTCCACCTGTACCGGACTCGGCTGGCATGAGCTGCTCGATATCGTCTACGAGGAGAAAATGGTCAGGAGCCGCCCTCTTTGCTGGGTGATCCTACCCGGTGACGTGTACCTTGAAGCATAGCCCGTATTCTTTTACTTCTTATTTTCATTTACGAGCGAGAACTTCGAGCCTCATTTGTAATCTCAATACACCGGACTCGAGTGTACTGTATCCGTGTAGTATATCGATATCGATATCGATATATCGTATATCGTATTCGTGTAGAGCAAGCCCTTTTTCTGAGCATAGAAGCAACCATAGAATAAGACACTCGTAGCGTAGCGAACCTAGTTCTACCCCCAGGACTGTCTGTGTCACTCACCGTGCCTGGCGCTAAGTTTTATCCTTCGTTTCCCAGCTGGCTCGTCTGGAGGTGCTGTTCATGGTGAACGGCCCTCAGCGCCTGCTGTGGTTCTGCCAGCCGCCTCACGCGCCGCCCGGACCGCCGCCACCGGACCAGGTGAGGGGATTATCCCAGGACAACCGAGATTAAAAGAGAACAGCAAGCGAGGTCCTGGACTCTTAATTAGTAAGCTGAGCACGGGAGGTTCTCGGGTTTAGACTATTGTACCTCTGTGGCACGACGTGCTCCGGTGATATATGCGCACGTATGCACGTAGGTACACATCAGCGGCGTGCCACATCTAAATTGTATTTTATTTGTTACATGATCTCGCTACTTTGATACAGCGTAGTACCTGTGACTAAATTTCTGGGATGGGATTTGGGAACCTGGCACAGCGCTGTCAGGGTTTCCTGGGTTAGCGTTGGAGCTGTCTCCGGCCGCCGAGCGCTGGCCTCCAACCAAGGTGAGTCCAATCGACCCCACAGACCGCCGGGTGCCTGGCACCAGGTGATATCGGGCCGGGCCGCTCCGGACGGCACGCGAGCTGCCACCGCCGATACCGGCAGGCGCGTCACTCGTGAGTGGGGAATAAGGCGACCGAGGATGATTTGATTATTTTTCACATTATTTGCTCATGATCGTTTTTTATTTTATCTTAGACTGGCTCTCAGACGTAGCAATGTGTCGAAAAAAACCTGTCGTCTTAATTTTTTATATTATATCACTTGATATGGCAATCATTTTGTGACATCACATTAGATTTTCCATAATTTCTTTTACGTGGTGCACTTTCTCTCCGGTCACATCGTCATTGAGTTTTAGCTCGTCATCCTCTAGCGTCAGTTAAAGATGGCACACCATATCACTGCTCCCACCGGCTCAGCACCACCGGATTTAGCCGATTACCGTGGCTCTTCAGCCGTCTGATGTGGGCCCACCCCGTTACCTACGCCCTACACCCGTGTTTTTCCGTACCTTGAGACGCTTCCAGCGTTATTTGACACCTTATCAGATCAGATATCTCAGTTCCCCCTCCCTCCCCCAGCGATCCGGCTCTCGGGCGGTGCGCGGCGCGGCCCACTCCAGTCGTCAGAACACCCTGCTGTTGACTGACGGCGTCTCGGTACCTCTCCGGGGCATAGCCACCGCCATGACACGCAACTCGAACCAGCGCGCCATCACCGACGACAACGCACACAAGGTGGGAGCGTCGGCTGGGTGCAAAGTGTGACGGCCGGACCGACGTTCGCACCGGTCCGATGTCGAACAGCATGGAACCGAAGTACTGTAGGGTGTAGGTTCTGCATTGTTTCATGCACGATATACTCGAACCCCTCTCTCGTTCCTCATTATGCCGTCTCCCCTTTACCGTCTCCCCAGTAACGTCTTCCCCATACGGTCCTCCCTGTACCGTCACCTGCCCCCCCCCCCCCAGCCGTATAGGGCGGTGTACTGTATCCTCCCTCCTGTACCGCCCGTCCTCGCCGCAGGAGGTGCTGTTCTGTACGCTGCCCGGCCGCGGCGACAGCCTGCTGCAGGCGGCCGAGCGTCTGCTCCGACTGGTGTTCATCCCCGTCATCAGCCGACACCCGACCGAGCTGGACGGCACGCCGGCGGGCCGCGCGTGCCGCCACCAGCTGCTGCTGGCCCTCTGTACCACCGCATCGATATTCCACGGTAAATGACGGATAACGCACCGTAGAGGGGACCAGAGCTGACCGCGCCAACAATGCAGTGTAATAGCATTGTGGTGCAGGTGCTTAGTGCCTACCTTCAATAGCACGTCTCTATTCCTTGAATTGAATGCTCGCTTACCACAAAAACTCTATGACAATTCCATGACACTTGCAGCGAACATTGAGTTACATGAACCCGGCAGAGTACGGTGAGTTGTTACCATTGCGTAACCAGTGAGTTACCAGCTACCAGTCACTTGCGGCGGTGAGTTACCAGATTTACCAGTCAGTTACCAGTAGACTGCGTGTGCCCGGCAGTGACGGAGAGCAGCATCCGACAGCAGGTGGTGTTTGAGGACATCCCGCTGGATCTGTCCTTCAGCACACCTGCCGAGGCCATGGCGCTCTACAAGGACAAGTACAAGCTGATCGTCATGGAGCAGTACGTCAACATTTGGATCCGACAAATCGAGGAGGTAGGACGCGTTAAAAAGGCCTGGGATCGCTTTTGAAATGGATGCATGTAAAATAAACTTTTAGCACGGTACCTGCAACGTAGATGCAACAATCAAACAATACGTCGATCGAGCAGACGCAGTGGCTTTCGTCGTGCCTGTACGATGTTTATCCAAACTATGCTTCCTATTCGTGCGACTATTACAGTATGCCAATGCCTTCAAACAGTGCCGCCCGCTGTGTACAGGTGCTGATGCAGAGTGAACTGCTGCGTAAGGAGGGTAACGAGACGGGGCCACACAAGGAGCTCGAGTACTGGAAGGTCCGCTCGTCCGTCATCGACTCCATCATCGAGCAGCTCAAACTGCACAAGGTCGGCGAAGGGCGTCTGATATACCTACTTGTACGAATGTTTGAAAGAGTTTGAAATTTGATTACCTACTGAACAATGAACATACCATATAAGTAATGCATAATCTAATAATACGTAGACGATAGTGGTACTAAAACTTCTTACAAGCCCATTGTCGGGTTATGCAATATGCAATATACGTTCTGCTTTTCATGAACCTAGTTTTTATTACGATAACCATACGGCATTCATGACTTGTCTATCACATTGCCGCCAGGTAAAGACAGCCGTATTCTGTCTCCAAATGAACCACTACCCGATCATCAAGCTGTGGCGTCGCACCGACCGCCGGATCACGGACGCCTTCAATGAGGCCCGGGACAACATCCGCTTCATCTACTGCATCGAGAAGCACCTGCACCCGCTGACGCTCGGCTCGCCGGTCAGTTCCGTGGGCCGACATCCTCACCTTGTACTACATACCGACATCCTCACCTTGTACTACATACAGACATCCTCACCTTGTACTACATACCGACATCCTCACCTTGTACTACATAGTATCTAGTTTTATCGGCATTCTGGTGTCACTGGGGTTAGCTTCATTTTTTCTTTTTCTAACGGTTAGCCGTAACATGTGTATCTCGCGAAGGTACTCCAAATAAAGAAGTCAGCCCTGTGTGGAACACTCGTTGCCGTCGTCAGTCGTCGCGTTTGATGGACCGCAAGTTCTCTGTAAATAAAGGGCATTTTCCCAACCCCCGTCGAGAGTATGAAGTCTCACCCCTGTATCCCTATGTTCCCCGTTTGGCAGCCGGAGATGGTGGGAAGTATCGCTGGTCTGTTCAACGCCGTGAGGATGATCCACAGCGTGTCACACTACTACAACTCCTCAGAGAGAATGTCCGCCCTGCTTATCAAGGTCAGTGCCGACCAACCTCTTCATGGCTGTGTGGGAAGAAAGCGGAACAACCGATTTACAAATAACAACTTACAGTTTTTCGATTTTTGCTGCTCAATTCACCTATTGATGACTGAAGCGTGTGCCCCTGAGTTTGGTTGCTGTGATACATCTTACAGCGTTGTCATATAGCGTTGCCATCATTGCCATTGCCGTTTCCTTTCAAAGGTGACCAACCAGATGATCGTGTCCTGTATGGACTACATCAGCGACCGGGGCCGGTACACCATCTGGAACCAGCCCGAGGAGGACGTACGTTCCAAGATCCGCGACTGCATCTCACTGCGGGACCACTACCACGCCGGTTTGGAGCGTGCCGAGGTGGGTAGATGGTGCTGCACGGCCAAGTCACTCCCCCTGACTAAATGGAACAGGTGTCCTTGTTCACCTGCTGTAGCTGGTTCCGGCGGCCTATCCCGCCCGGAGAGTAGACAGTTAAGACAGCCCTGACGGTATTGACTGGTAAATTATTGTTGAACTGTCAAGCTAAGTCGCCCAATATGTAATTTGTCTTATGTTCACCACGCCCGCAACCCCTTCCCCAGACGACCCTGGAGAACGTAGGCGACCGTCCGTTTGAGTTCAGCAAGGTCTACATCTTCGGCAAGTTCGACGCCTTCTGCTCTCGGCTGACCATGATCACCAATCTGTTTGATTCAATACAGGTCTACTCGCGACTCTTCAACTCACGAATCGAAGGTGAGAAAACGCTCCAATTATATAACTCATTTCAACTAGTTAGTTCCGTTTCAAAGATACGCATGTTAATCATGAAAACTCATGTTGCATGTCGGAAAGTTGTTTTATCCAATCGATGCATTGCAAATGAGAATGTCACGAATATGGCCCCTAAAATACATCGGCTTGCATGCTTCCATGTAGCTTCCAATTTCCATGCAATTCATCTGACGCGGTCTTTTCATTTTCAGTCTCATTCGCAGTTCCTTGATATCGTGTTGCAAGTCGGAATGTGTCCACGTCTGACCCCAGTATACCGTCACTCACAGGACTGTTGCAAGGAGTTCCCAGTAAGTGGCCTGCTTTGCGCTCGGATCTCGGCGGTTTCGATTTAAACACGACAGATAATGGTGTTACGAGTCAGTCGCTTTATGAAGTTTCAAGTTACTTTGTATATGATGCGTTGATAAGATTCCATATTGGCTGTTCAATTATTACGCTTCATTCCTACGCATCGGTTTAAATGGTCCTGAAAACAGTTGAGGGCGAACGGAAGTAAAGTATGCATCGGTAAAAGGGCTTGATTTTACCACACTTTCTACCTTTTGTTTTTCGTGAACACTTTACCCAGCTCCCTCAAAATGAGAAACAGGAGTTTCACTAAGTACAAGTTAAGCGTTATCACGTCCAGCATCTTCCAACGTTGATCTCTAATAATGTGACCCTGCCCAATAGGTCCTTAATCGCTGACCTTTAGTGGTAGATGAGACTCGTCCAATTGACGCTGCCCAACACCCCTAACCGCTGACCTCTAGTGGTGGAGGAGATCATCACCATGTTCCGCCAAATGGTGGACGATATCACCCAGAAGAAGTACGACTACCTCGACTACAAGAGCACCCAGTTCGCCTCCGACTACGCAGAGTTCCGGCGCGGCTCGGCCTCGCTGCTCGCGCAGATCAGAGGCACGCTCGAGCAGGGCTTCCACGATGTGTGGGAGACACCACAGGCGTTCTATTTCCTCGGAAGGTGAGGCAGCAAAACACGGAAGATGGGTAGTTTCGTAGTTCAGCGAAATGCATTCATTTATCAAATACATCTCTTATGCTGCATTTACTTGTCTGGTCTGGTGGGTCTGGTGTAGGTATACCTGACACTAGAGCTTTGTAAGATCACACTTCGAAATTCCTTATCGACAGGTTTGGAAATGCAGTAGTAGACAGTGGTCAGGTTCTGGCTTGGGCACGGATCACTTCACCGATTTACCGGCAGGTTTGAAAAGGTGGCGGCGGTGGTGCCCGGTCTGAACATGGCCGACAAGCACCAGCGTATTGCCGAGTACTACAGCCGCCTGGTGGCCACCATACAGCGGCACTACGTGCTGCACAAGGACAGCCCACCCGTGGCCTGGAACGAACCGCCGCTCGCAGGTATGTACCGGCTCAGTGAGAACGTCAGTATCTGAATATGGCTACACTTGATCACGTCGCCATTTCAATTGTGGAACACACGGTCAACACAGCTCACCGATGGTTCACTGCAAACAGCCTAAAAATTAATCCTACAAAAACAGATCTGGTGTTAATTAAGTCCAAAAGGCGTCAACTGAACCATAACTTCACGATCAATTTCGGCAATGCTGAAATTCCTCTGTCACCCGCTGTCAAAGTTCAGGTGTCAACCGTTATTCGTCGCTGTTATGCTACCATGGGAGGTCTCGCAAAATTGGCGCGGTCTCTCCCGGAGGAGGTGAAGAAAATGATAATCGAATCTTTAGTTTTTCCCCATTTAGTTTATTGCATGTCAGTCTGGGCCGGATGTGGGACAACTCAGAGGCAGCGTATTCAAAAGGTTATCAACCACTGTGCGCAGATAGTGGTGATGATCTGCCGTTCCGCGATCTGCCCATGTATCGGCGATACTGAGTGAATTGAGCTGGCCGAACGTGGATGTTTTGGTGGCTGAGCGTGACATGGCCATGATGCACAGCATACTGTATAACGACCAAGCGCCGGCCAGTCTGCGTGAGCGCGTTGTGTATCGCGACACTGTGTCAGTGCGAGACACGAGAGCGACCGATGCCGGTCAGCTGCAGTTGCCGCGAGTCCGCACCGAGCACGCTCGGAAGTTTTTCAACTCCCGAGCCGCGGCACAGTGGAACAGCGCGCCCGCAGAGATCAGGGAAGCTAGCACCGCCGCAAAGTGTCGCAGAATGGCTAGAGATCATTTTACTAGAACCGATTAGATGGTGAGCATGATATGTGATAGCGCTCTTTTAAAGGTGTATATATTTTTTTAGAGTTTTTAATGTCGCTTTGTTTTAACTCGACCATGTTTTAACTACCGTAAAGTGGGGCTATTTGAGACAGTGGGGCTATTTGAGACAGTATTTAAAATCACTATAAAATGAAGAGCGTTTGATTTTTATGTGATATTTTTGCTCAGGAAGGTGTGGAATCGAGCAGTAAATCGCCTGAGCAAAAATTAAGCATAAATTTCAAACGGTTCTTATTTTATAACAATTTTAAATACTGTCTCAAATAGCCCCACTGTCTCAAATAGCCCCACCTTACGGTATACATAGTTCAATCGTCTGTGTTCCTGTGTACTGACGCAAAGACGTAAGAGCCACGGTGAGTGGAAGTCTTTAAGAAATAAATGATGATGATGAATTCGACCTTACGACTTTCTTAAGGTGTCACTACTTTATTGTGACTTCATCACACCGCTACGACTTCATTGCAATGTCTCGAGCAAAGGACATATTCGCAGTGCATACCCCCAACGGTGACGTATTTTACGTTATCTGTGTGATGCGCATCTTATTGCAGTCATGTGTCTGTCCTTCGTTTTATCGGTTTCGTACGCCTCCAGCTGGCTTTGTTCCCCGTCTTGCTGGCTGGGGGACGCCGCCGTGCTGGGTTCTGCTGGGTGCCCTCGTTTTAGCTATCGACCAAACGGATGGTGGAGTGGGATCTATGCGGATTTCTGGCGTATTTCACACTGTTGAGCCACCGAAATGGGCTCCTCTGTATTGAATCATGTAATGCACAATGCACATTCTTACCAATTTTTCATTTCAATCTTTCAATATTTACGTTAAATATTTACGAATAATGAAATTGATCTACATGATCCTAGCGAGACACGGTCTCGTAAAATGTTCGTGGTGTTTGCTGTTTTACAAATGACAAATGAGTTTAGGTCTGCAAATAGTATTGCTGCCCTGGTTTACGCCGAGCACATGACCCAAAGCTACTCAGTGCAGCCGGCCGGTCTGTCACAGTTTTCGCTGTGTCTCTCCGCAGGTCAGCTGCGCTGGGCGCGGATGCTGTACCGCCGCCTCAGCGAGCCGATGGAGGTAATCCGTCACCATCCGGCGCTGCTGGCGCTCACAGAGACCAAGCGGGCCGTGCGGCGCTACAACAAGCTGGCCGTGTGCCTGTGGAGGCTGCAGCACCTGCTCCACCAGGCCTGGATGGACAGAAACGTACGGGACGGAGAGGGGGGGACTGATACTAGGGCCGGATGATTACATATAACGGATAGTGATGATTATAATGCCGTGATCGTAAAGTACCTGCTGCAGGTAGCTGCAAAATTAGTTTCTGATACATTTGAAATGAATCAGCTGGATTTTCCTTATTCCTGTGTATGTCATGTCAGTTGTCGATCAAACGCCGTATTCATCGTTATAAAAAGGCGTAAGACCGCACCAAATAAATGTTTTGTGTATAAATGAAATAATTTGTACGGCAATGACAATGTTCTGCCCTACTGTCTCTCGCTACATTGTTACATGCATCATTCATTTATCCCTCACCGAAGCTGACTGACCGTCAGGTGCTGTACATCGAGCGTCACCTGGCGTGGCCGGTGGTGGTCCAGGAAGGTGACGAGCTGCGGCTCAACTACAGCCACGAGATCCGCGTGCTGCTCAGGGAGATCGAGGTCATCCTGCGCATGGGTCTGCCCGTGCCGATCGTGGCCAGCGCCCTGCTCTCCCGCAGACAGTACCTGGTAGACTCGGCCAATTCCGTACAGGTAACGGGTGCTCGATGACATTGCACGCAAGAAGAGCGATGTAAACTGTGTATTTGGAGCTATGGGAAAGGGATTTGTCGCGAATGTTTGCATGACGTTCTGTGCATGTATGTCGGAATTGTGCATCCATGCCGATTACGGTCATACGTTGTATGGTTTTGTGTTTCATGAAGCCAATAAAATGATGTCGAAATAGTTCACTTCGTATCGGCAGAGTCGGCACAAAACAAAAAAGTAATTCATCTGATATACCTTGCCTTGTGAGCAAAAAGAAAAAAATGAGAAGTGAGTAACATCCATTGAGTTCACCGGTGACGGTTGTTTCCAGGACCTTCTGGAGTATTTTAGCGCGGTGCGCGGCCGGGTGGTGCCCAGCCTGCAGCCGCTGCTGGTGCCGCATGTGCAGCACGTGCGAACCATGCTGGACACGCGACTGGCGCGCCTCACATGGACCTCTGCCAAACTGGGCCCGACCGTGGCCGAGATCAGAGAGGCGGTGCGGCAACTGGAGGTGCTCATTGTAAGGTGAGGTGGGATGAATTAGTGGGGAAGGGGGGGGGGAGAGTTGCGGTGTCAGGGTGTGCGGAGACTAGGAGGTGTGACAGCAAGAAAAGAAGGAAAGAAAGTAGACGGCATTGCCGATGTCAATAGCACTGAACCGACCAAAATGCATTAGGTCAGGCACGGTCAGGCACAGTCTGTGTGTATATAGAGAAGTCTGTGGGTCAGGAGATACGAGGCGCAAGTCGGGAAAGACAGTCGTTCTTTTTGTTCCCCTGTGCTTCACTCAAGCATACGCTATTGAAAGAGTGCGACATAGCGCTACGAGGTTTAGTTTGCTTGAGCCTATCTCAAACTATATGCAAACAAACTTGAAAGAAACGATAATGGGTTCATTGCACCCTTGTCCCCGCCGTCACTGGCGCTGACCGCTTACTGCGTCCATCCTGGCTCCACACAGGCTGGTGGACATCCACGGCAGTCGGATAGAGGACACCCTCGGACGAATGTACTCGGTGCGACTGTACACTCTGCCCGGGGACAAGCCGTGGACGCTGGACGACTTCCTCGTGCGCACATACAAACTGTGTGTGCATTCGGCGCAAGTAAGGATGAAGCAATGTATCACTGTCTTATCTGAGATACATCACTGATTTAGCTCACTAATTACGTGTGTCACTGATATTTTCTTTTAAAAAATGCCCAATATTCATTGTTATGCGTTGGCGGACGGTCAGAACCCTTGTCCACGGTCATTGTTGTTGGCTTATGCTACATCTGCGCCCGATTACAGGAGCTGGACAGCCTGAGCGGCACCATCGAGCAGGGCGTCCAGGAGCTGGTGGAGCTGGTGCACCAACATGACCCCACGCGCGCCGAGGAGTCCTCCAGCGGCTTTGTCGAGACCGACGGCGAGTCGGACGGCACCGGATGTGAGTAGCGTGTCGCGGAGCGTCCTGGGCCTGGGCGGTTGAGAGGCGCCGCGTATCACCGTATCCATGCCGCTCGGCTTTCTTCCTTGGATTATGCTCAAAGTTCTGCTTTGAAAGACATTATTATCTTTGCTTTGGAGCATTTGTCCGTTTCTGAAGTAAAGGGTTAAGGTTGAGATAATTTATCTTATAGTGCTTGTTAGGAGAATTTCGCTGGTCTCCGCAAATGTTCCAACAAGCATAGTGTACGTACGTACAGTCCACAGCAGAAGTAATGTGGGGTTTCAGTCATGGGTATGTTCTGCTTCTGAAGCTTAGGAACGATTAGCCAGACTACAATGAAACTTTGATTGTAGCTTATATGTATCGTCACCCTTGCAGCTGCAACTTTAGCTATTGATATCTTCTTTTCGATCACTCCGCATTAAACAATCGCCAGTCAAAGCCAACCGTTGAGAATGGTAAAACCCTACATTACTTTAGCGGTGGGCTGTACGTACCCTTCCCACCCCACACACGGTTGTGGCTTCTGACGTCTTGGTCACTCCCTCCCTCAGCGTCGGCCAGCTCTCTGGCTCAGCCCCCGTCGGGCCCGTCCACCCCGATCCCCCCGGCCGGGTCAGAACTGGGCACCTCCCGCAGCACGGCACGGGCCGTCACCCCACAGGAGGTAAGTCCAGTGTCACCGCGGTAGATGTATCGCTGCTGCTAGCTTGCCATGCTGTGCGGGAGAGTTGAACAGCAGATGATTATTCGGCAGCTTGAAACATTGACGCTCATCAGACATTAACGCAAAAACAAAATCAGATGTTAACAAGCACTACGTCACTTGCGATGTATCGGATTGTACAAATTTATCTGCACGTTGATGATGAGACTCGCTTGATTAGCCATCCGTTATTGCTCTCGCTAATCACTTACTTGAAAACGAATGCTTCTTGAGTTCAGCACATACCAAAGCTTAGTGACGCCCTGAACCGTCTCGCTCCTTTCACTGCCGTCCACGCAGTTGGAGCGTCGTCGGAAGGAGATGCGCCAGCGGATGGAGCGGGCCGGCAAGGAGCTGCGCCGCCTCTACCACAGGAAGGTGCTGGAGGTGCTGCTGCGGGCCACAAAGGTGGCACTGGAGGCGCTCCGAAAACGGCTCTCCTGGGTGGAGAAGGGAACCTGTGAGTACAGGGAATAACGCCTCGGATAGGCGGTGTAATAGGAGTGTCGGCAGTCTTAGTTTTCAGGTGTGACTCTGAAGTAGGTGTTATATGAGTGTCGGTCGTCTTAGACTTATTAGATCTTAAGTATTCCGTATTCCGTTTAATTCTGGTTATGATGTTTTACCCATTTGCGGCATTTGTCTTTTTAATTAAACGATGGCTGTTTTCGGGCCGTTGGTACAGGATTGGACGCTCGCGTTTTTTTTCGTCATGTGTGTCCAGTGTCCACAACCATGCAATAATGCACTGCCATGTTATGGAACACTCAATGAAAAATTAACTTTGTGGCATTCTCTGTCGGCATATAGAACCGGCATAATAGCATACCTATAATAAAAGTGGAGTTATGGCACCGCTGTTGTTCCTATTTTTTTTTTTTTTTTTGAAAAATTGGAATCGATTCGTGCGCAGCTGCGATAGAAGACACCTCAGGTTAGTTACCAATTTGGTCCGGTAACTACACCTTTTTTACGGCCAACTACAGACATAGTGCACACATTTCAGGAATAGTGCAACCGATTTCGACAGTTCGGCATAGACAGACTACGCCGTACATACTGTCGCCTGCACTATTACTGAAATGTGTGCACTGTCGCCTAAATTGGCGTAAAAAGGTTGATACATAGTTGATAGTCTCCTCGCTGTACAATATGCGTTTTTACCTGTGATGTCGTATAAAAGTTGTAAGCAATGTACAATAAAGCATCACTAATCAATTGTATATAACCTGATTTGCGATGGATAGATGAGTTATTAGTCTGACTGGAGTGTTCTTACGCATGTGCGTTTAGATTCTGTATCCTCACTAGTGCTTTACAAAAAGCCTTATATTTGGTAGGTACACGATGAAGTGTATGCACATACAAAAAAAAACTAGGAAAATCGTTAACGTCTTGGATTGTTTTTTTATAGTTTGGCTGAGGCAATTTCCTAATGAAAGGGTTGAAATACGTATATACATTTGGCTTCTTACATGTTCAAAACGTTTCAAAATAACTTTATCATACAGTTAACTTGTACTCATTATTGAGCTCTTGGTAGTGGTAAATAAAAAAATTCAATGGATTGATTCTAGTTTGAAATTTAGACCTTGACCTTACCATGTCAAAATATGTTTTATGCCCCAACCAGTAATGACATTGTTTTATCACTGACTACGTTTTTCTTTCAACTACACTCAACATTCTGCAATTTCTAAAGCATTTTGACCCACAAAGGACATCTTTTACCGTGTTCCATGGCCATCATTGTGCACCACCCTTTTCCAGATGCGTTTAGAAGAGTGCGGATCCGTAAGTTGAGCTGTATTGCCAGTGTTGCTAACCCGTCCTCTCGCCAAATTTAAAACGGCATAGGCGCCCGTATTAATTTAACCTGTCGAATCAAAGGCAGATATACGACGCCTCTGTAGAAGAAACTGAGGGACGTTTGAATAAAACGTGAATGCTCACGGTGAAGTTAAATCGTGTCACAGATTTTCCGATGGGATTTTTTAACTTTGCTTTCATTCTGCAATATGCGCACATTTTGCACTTGCAGCTCATATTCCCATTCCGGTTAATGTATCAAGTAAGAGCATAGCATGTCTGGTATAAAAGTGAGTTTACCTTGGTAAAGGACTTAAAGAAGCATCAAATTGAACATACAAAAAGGGATAGGTAAAGTTGGTTCGCCGCTGGTAATTTGAGTGGAGTGCTCGAACAGGGTGATCTGTTTTGCAAAATAAGATCATTTTATCGAAAGGATATTCAATGGACAGCATTCACAAATAAAACAAAACTTTTAATGGATAATCTCTCTTATTTGTTTCAAATCGTACATGAGACACTGCATGCTTATAAAAGGGACTACCTCTTCTCGTTTGTGTGTCAGTGAATTATTGCGTCAAGTCCATGCACGGAGCCAGTATTTCCTTTGATATGGCCTATGCTTCTATATATCGACACCTTTTTTTAAACCCCACATCTGTTCTCCGGTGAATTTCCGGAAAGCATGAAAGATCTCTTTTTAGAAGTGTCCAATTGTCCGATCCTGATCAAATTTGTGTGTTCGTAAGCTTGCTCTGGCATTTCTTGATCTGCCAAGATAGACAAACTTGAGAAAAATCGAGTGTCTGTACCTTTTTTGAAGGTTTCTAAATAACTTGTCTGAAATTCACGGGAGAACAAATGTGGGGTTTAAAAAAAGGTGTCGATATAGCTGGTGAAAAATACATCGGCTCTCTTTCCCTCCGTTCTCTTAGCACCTATCACCCTGTATGCTGTCGTTTTCAGGCATCTCGAATCCCTGCGATGAGGCTTACCCCACCGTTGCCTTAGCTACTTTCTGGAAGACACGACATTAAATAGTAATTGATCTTCCGGGATAAAACGTAGCTTGAGCCCTTGCATAAGTGTATCAATGTCGTGCCTTGTATCAGCGTTGTAACATGTGTTTGTGTCGTATTTTGTATCGGTGTTGTACCGTTAATCCATGTTATGTTGTGGGAAGGTCGATGCTGTTTTGTATTGTACTGTCTCGTGTCGTAGCTGTCTGTGTGGATGTTATGCGTGAAGTGTTCGAATTATGATGGTGGACCTAGTGGCTCTTTGGTATAGTAGCGAACGTTCGCATTCGCTACTGGTTGTCTTATGTGTTATGTAATCCCGCAATGGCTTGGCAACCAGCGACCTCTTGACCTTATCGTGCACATCTACGAGTAGAATTATAACAATACATAACGGATGTTAGCGCCGTCGGACTTTCGTGCCCGTCTGAGTTGAAATGTTATGCCAACATATCAACCGGAGACGGGGACCAAAGTCTGTCTATTAAGATGCGTGGTTCTGACGCCTCGTCTCAGCGTTACAGCATTACCGACATCATGTGTGGAACGGTATTGCGGTCATACTGGACCGCCCCATATGAGTCTCGTCCCTACCCCCTCTGACCCTCTCCCCTGGACGACCACCCCAGTGTCGCTGGTGACGCCCGAGCAGCCGGCCGTGTTCAGTGTCGAGGCCAGCCTGGACGTGCCACATGTGGTGGTCTCCCCCACTCTGGACCAGGTCCAGGAGACGCTCGTCAGGGCCGGGAAAATCATACTGTCGGTCAGCAAGGGCGTCGGACAGTGGTGCCGACACAAGAAACACAAGGTGGGGAGCCACGGATAACTGCATGCGTTAAACATCCGTGTTTGGTAGTGAATGTCTTGTTGTAGGGAAGGTTCTTCATAACGTACATAAAAGTATGTTCACCATGACAGCCCATATAAGTGGCATAGGTACTCTTAAACACGGGAGATTCTTGCGTTACTTATGGCAGCGATTAACATTGGACATAATACCTCGAACGGTGCTGCTCCTACGAACTTATAGCCCAGCAAACGCTGACTTAGCACTTACAGTGACATTTGAACCATTGCTCTCTGTCGATAAGAGTATGCGAGTGTTCAGTTTCGCTGGCAGGTGCCCTCGAACGCCGAGCTTCCGCCGCCACTACCGGTCGGCCCCGAGCCGCCCAAGTCTCGCTGGGGCACCCAGCTTCAGAAGGCAGTCCAGTAAGTCTTCCTGACACCCGAGCGTGGATTAGCCTAACTTACCCAGCTGCTACGGGCGCCGGTGTTCGGCTAACGACATCATATGTTGGTCAGAAGTGTGCTGGAGTCTGAAGAGATCATTTGAGGATCTAGTCATTGATTAATTTTTTATTGGTGTCTGGTGGGGCGTAAATGATTCCATTATATATCCAGCAGCTCTATTGGTTATAGATAAAAATTAGGCATTTTCCTGACCTGCACCGAATCTAATTAGCATTACCAGAAACGATAAAATTGAGTTATTCTCAACCTCAACTCGATACAAGTCATCGATTCGAAATTCAATTGTCCCTCTTCCAGATACCGTGAGATCCAAGCCAAACACAAGAACTACTACTCTTACGTCCACGACAACAAGGAGGTGGTCAAGTTGGTCGCCCTGCTGGCCAACTGTCTGCACAACACGCGCTTGGTGAGGGCTGTGGTCACTGGTCTGTCAATACGCGATTGGTGAGGGTGGCACTTTGGACGCTAACCCTCACTGAGGGGTGAGGGCTAGCGTCCATATCCTTCCTGTTTGCTGAGCGATATCTATCTGCCCCCTCCCATCCGCACTTCCTTTGTCACAGGTCTTTTTCGTCCTGTTGAATCCATCTCATTGACGTCACCCATCTGGAAGAGGGACTGTGTATTTTACTCGCCCCGCCCAGTTCGACGCGGTAAGAGCAAAATACGACGTAAGTACGGGCAAGTATTTTACAGCCCGTCCTGGGTCACCCCCGTGCTGTGTGACCCTGCCCTGTGCCCCTGCAGCGTTTCGCCGACCTGCTGGCCGGCTGGGAGCCGTACCACCACCTCTGGCGGATGGACCGGCGCGCCACCATGAAGGCCGTCACACGACGGAGACCCTCGCTGATCGAGTTCGAGACCGAGATGCAGCGCTACAAGGACATAGAGGCAGAGCTGGCCGAAAAACCGGCCACCAGCCGTGTCGGGGCGCTGGTCATCTGCACAGGTCAGTGCCAAACCACTACAACCTGAACATGGTGGGACGAATAGTATGGTGCCCGGCTGAGAAAATGGATTATCTGAAAAAAATGGAAAGGCATTATTGGGAGTCGATCTTCAGAATTTGCAGTGCGCCCATATTAGAATCGTTAATGCGCTTCAATTTAATAGCTTCCTCGCTTGCAATACGCCTTTTTCACGCTTCAATAATGCTCGCCTTAAGTTGGCACCCTGATCACTTGATTAGTCAGCTCTGTACCCTAGTCTAGTCCCTAACCTCTAGCTCCCCTTTTCCTCTCCTCCAGTCCAGCTGCAGCGGCGGCTGATGTCCGAGGCCCGCGGCTGGCTGGCGCGCTACGGCGAGGCGTGCCGGGACCAGCAGCGGCGCCAAACGGCCCGCCTGATGGCACATCTCACACAGGAGGCGCGGAGACTGGCGCAGCCCATCAGTGACCTGGAGGACGTGCGTGCCGCCATGGAGGTGCTCCGCCGCGTCAGGGATATGGAGATCGACACGGACAGGGCCATCGAGCCCATCGAGGTGAGACGGCGGAAGCAAAGAGGGGCTGAGAGGTATGGACTGGCGGACGGACTGGCAGGGAATGTATTCAGTGTTGTAAATGCATCGCAACTCTTTGATTGTGGTTTGTGCTATACCTTGACACGGAAAATGAAAAACTTACGATTTCCTAAGCAATCGGCATGATATTTGTATTTTCTTTATCTCTACTTTGGATAAGATATGTCCTTTTATGCTAACGATATGTTCATCAGCAGAAAGAACAAGCTTTTGAAGCGCGGTACTTCTCTGCGTGATATGTCACGCCGCCGCGTCTATCATCTGCCCTGTGACGATCTCCAGGAGAGTCTGCTGGTGCTGGCCAAGTTCGGCCAGCCCTCCAGCCGGGAGGACGCAGACGCCGTGGACACTCTCCGGTACACCTGGCAGCGCGTGCAGAGCCACGCCGCCGAGGTGCAGTCGCTGCTGCGCTCCGTGGAGCCGCACTTCCGCGGCGAGCTGGTGCGCAACCTGGCGCAGTTCGAGCGCGACGTGCGCCAGTTTTGTGCCGACTACCGGCGCCAGGGGCCCATGTCGCCCGGTCTGGAGCCGCGCGAGGCCTCCGATCGGATGCAGCTCTTCCAGGTAGGAGTTAAAGGGGAGAGGGGTGACACCGCGGAATGGCTGCGGAGGCATTCAAATTATACCATTATTTATGATTCGCGGAAGCTATTCGATTTAATTACGATTCAATGTTCCGACTGAGAGGTGTTCCGACTTCAATGTTTCGCTGAACTGCAAAACATCTGTATATCAACGAAGATGATAATTTTCACAGTGGTCGAACAGGCATTGCTTGATTGATTGAGACTTCATTTGATAAGATAGTAACAAATTATCAATATTATATCTCATCTAGCGTTCTGTGTGAGAAATTTGGTTTCCGGCTGCGTTGGACTGCGAAACTTTCGGAGCACTCCGAATTCCTCGGATAGACGGTGCCTGGGATAGACGGTGCAAGGCTACCTGACAGCTGACTTTTAATGACAAGCAGACGCCAGTGGTGAGTCTGTTCTGTCTCTGTCTGTCTTTCCCTACCTCCCCCCTCTCTCTCTCTCTCTCTTTCTTTCTTTCTCTCTCTCTCCCTCCCTCCCTCTCTCTCTCTCTCTCTCTCTCTCTCTCTCTCTCTCTCTCTCTCTCTCTCTCTCTCTCTCTCTCCCTCTCCTCCCTCCCCATGCATACATTATGGTGCGCGCGGCTCGGGACAGCCGACGCCCGGCAGGCTCTGCTCTGAAGGACGCCGTGTCCTAAATATGAGGCTATTATGTATGCGTGCCAGCGCGGCGACGCCATGAATGCTTTTAGTGCGTTTGTCGTAACCTTGTGGAACAAATAATGATTTAACGTTATCTTTGGAGCGATTTTAGACTTAATTCCTACATACTTCTAAAAGTACCGCAGCTTGCAATAAATTTGGTAGAATTATGAGACGTGGGGATCGGGGAAGGGTGACTTTACTCCTATTCACAGTACTAGCACAGGCGCACGGAGCCCTGCATTCTGCAATGACATGCAGGCAATGAACGTTGGAGTCGAGCCGTGACGCTCGAACCAATGGGCGACCAGCCGGAGATGCGCTCAGGTTTTGCTCTTCACCCTGGAAGGAGATGGACGGTGCAATGGTGGTCCGTCATCGATTACGACCAGTCCAGATCTACATATGTACATATGCTGGGTGCATCAGCTCAGGCGTCGGGTGTGGCAATGATTAAGCGCCACCTTCCAACGGTAACATCGTCTAATTCAATCATCTCTCAACTTCTGTCAGTTTCGTCCATGACATCCAGTCAGGTGATAAAAGAGCAGTGGACAGTATCAACGGACAGGTGGTAACTGGTTAACCTTTCGCGAGTCGCGATGGAGGCGCGACAGGGGTGACATATCGTGCATATCTTGCGATGGAGACGTAACAGTGACGGGATACCGGGCAGTGTTGCCAATCGGGTCTAGCAAGACCTGGTGGAAATGTGAAGGCAAAAGGTAAAAGGTCGTCAATCTTTACGGCGTTGGTAAATATATATAGGTAAAACGGTGTGATAGTGATTAGATATTAGATAGACTTTTTAACGAGTTCTACGAGCGGTTTTAGGAATATCTATAACTGGAATGAATGACATGTTATCTACGAAAGCGTAACATGGCTGAAGGTGGTAGTTGATCGGCGAACTAATCTGTTCTCCATTCCCTATGTATATAGTGTGGAAAACTTCGTGACCGGCCGTCCTCACATCGCCACTCCGAGCAGCGGAGCCGCCCGGACTCGGAGAGCGCGGCCAAGGTTGCGTCGGCCTGACGGCAACGCCGGAGGCATAGACACGGCACGACGGAGCTGCACCTCTGGACCAGTCGACCACCGAAGACAGCGCGAACCAAGGCCAAGAGAACACGGCGGCCGGACGACGGTGCCCGAGGCAGGAGTGTGCCGCCCGGCCCGAGCGGTGGGGCGTGTGACGTCACGAGGCGCGCCCGGGGTGGGGACTGCGTCGGGGCTGGGCTGCTAAGAGCCTGAGGCTACCCGGCCCCTGGTCCACTCGTCGACGACAAGATGGCGGTGCCGTGTAGCTCCTCCTCCCGACGGAGGGCTGGGGAGGAGGCGAGGTTGGCCGTGACCGAGTGATATAAAAAGCGTGTGTTCGGGAGTTCGGGGCTTCACTTCCTTTCTCTTGGGAGCTCTCGCTCATTCGTGGTGGTGACGCCGCTCGCGGCTGACGTCTCGACACTTCTCTCACAATGTAAGTACCTGGGGCCTATCTTCCACCCAGTTGGAGGTCTCTGACTGAATTCTTGCACTGCCCTAGTCGCGCCCTTGGCTAGCTAACCGGCGGAGCGAGAGGGTTTGAGCCTGACTTCGGATCAAGACTCGGCTGTGGTCGGAGATATGTCTCAGGCACAGACACACACATATACACACACTGGCGTTGATAACAGTAATTTAAGATTTGGCCGCGGTACTGTGAACTGGGAACTGTGACAAGAGCGACAGGTTGGTTTACATGTCACTGTGAGTCGTGACTGTGAGACACGGTCTTTGGGACTTGACTCATTCCATTTCGGCTCTTCCGCTTGACTTATTTGGCTACTATATGAGTCAGTCCCACCCCTTTGGCAATATCGAATCGGTGTTATGATTTGGCTTGGTCATTGTTTCGGTTTTTGTTTCGGCACTTTGGCTATATTCACTTTAGCAGTGCACGGTTACCGTGACATTGCCCGTTTTCTGGCTCTTTTTGTTTGAATTGTTCGCTTTTATTTATTTCGGCCTTTTCAATTACAATATATATTTAATATGTATACCTTCTACGTTCTTTCTCGAGGTTGGAAATGATTGTGGAAACGCTGGCAATATGATGATTCGGACACGAACGGGTTTGTGGGACACATGGTTTTTGGTCGATCAGAATACCCCTAGACAACGGCTAAAGGATTGTTGAGTGTTAAGACGATACCCCTAGACAACGATGAGTAGGATTGTGCAGATGACACAGATTAGAATACCCCTAGACACACGAGGAATATTAGCAGAAGCTACCACAACAGCCAGTAGGCGGGCCTGAATCCTTCCACACACCCATCCTTGACCCACTCTACATCCTCATCCTTCTCCCAATCATCCTCATCCTTATCCCCATTCCAAACACCACTTATAAATTCACACTGGGGGCTCGTCCGGGATGTGATCTTAATCAGTTCGATTAAGAGACCTGGAGATGGGGCATCTCCTTGGCCCTACTGGCTTTTGCTTGTTTAATAACCTTGTTTATTATTTTGTTTATGGTCATTGTTTCCGGCTCCGAACTGTAATCACATTCAGTCTGGGCTCGGCCATCAGTGAAAGTGATTGAGGACGGTAGGTGCAAAACACGCACAAACAAATTCTGAGGGTCGGTTAGTGTTCACAGTACCGCGAGCCTGAGGTTAAGTTTGAAATTGAAAGTCACGGATACGGAATGGACACGATCATTACACACAGACAACGGGACTGGGAAGGTGCGCGGAGGGCGTTGACCTCTTCGCACGGCAAGGGTTACAAACACCTGTAACCATGAGTTATTCGGTGCCTTCATTACCAGAAGGTATTCTTCGGTAATGGTGCAAATTTGCATGTTGATCGGCTCGATCACGAAGCTTGGATGTGTTCCTGCGTCAGCATGCGGTTAGGAGGTTGTGGGAGCCGGGGGTTGCATCTTGATCTGCTCGATCAAGAGACCTGGGCGTGGTCCTGTGCCGACAGGTTGCGAGAAAGTTGTGTGCGTGCTGAGATCTGCATCTCGATCTGCTTGACCTAGAGATCTGGAGGTGTTCCGGATTCGGAATGATGTTAGGAAGTTGTGTGGTTGGCTCCTGATTGGGTATTTTCATTATAACGCTATTTCTATTAGGTTTGACGTTATTCGGCTGGATTTTACTCCGCCTTCAAATGCTATTGTAACCGGCATATTGGGAACATTTTTCGGCTAATTTTGCGGTTGTATGGCTTCCATAATATCTGGAGAATTAAGCTCGGCTAACGTCGGTTTAATTGGTTTCTTAGGGAATTTCGGACATAGGATCCATTCGATAATTTCAGGTGACTTCATTCTGACTTGCATTTACAGCAGCTAGCATCGCCTGGTGACAGTTCGTTTTATATCATTCAAGGTATAATGGTCGATTAATATTTTGGTTCTGTAGCGTGAATTGCATCGGATTTTTGTCATTTCTTTGCTGGTTTTATTTGTATCTCAGCTTCCATTTTTAAGAGCCTATTATTGTACTTCGGTTACGTTTTTTATTGCAACAACATTCATGATTCAATTACAGCACGGGAAGTAACGTTATCTCTTCTCGGTTGGTTTTGTTCCAAGGGCCTATAGTATGACGATGGCCGCGACACAGTAGAGATTTCCTACAAAATTGATAGAATATTTTATGTACCGTTCAATTATTTCAATAGCAGCTATGCTTCGGATGTTTACGTTTCACAGGCGGCTCTCGCAACTCCACTTTATCGGGGTCTCTGTTGGCGAAAGTGCAGCACGGTCGGTGAAAGCTTTCAGGTGGAAGTAGGACACCGCTGTACGCACACGCACTCGCCCAAGGCTAGCGGTGACGTGGTTACTGCGCGCCTCACGGTCAAGGTCACCACAGGCTGTTACACCGATTACACTGGACAGATTCACCGGAGGACAGCAGGGCAGAGTTTGTGAACACCTGGGCTGTGTCAACACCCGTAGTTGGAAAATCATGAAATGTTTAACGTATTACAGTAACATTTTATTTCACAGTAACAGACATTCAAGGTACATATTACAGTAAATACTATTTTCAAACTAAATACTTTTTTATCACAATTCAGTTAATGGTTAAATTTGCTGGCTAAATCTTGACTTTCCTTTGATGTGCATGATTGTGGAATTGAGTGTGACCTACGTGTGTTACGTGCTAATTGATCTGTGACATGTGTGTGTGACGCATGAGAATTGATGTGAATGCTTAGTGCTTACAGCGTGACTAATGACACAATGACTAGACGATCATCCCCCGTATCAAACAAACTTTTGGTCGACGGAGATTTAAGGGATATTAGGTATTGACTTTTGAAACAC